TGTTAGTTGTTATTGCTTGATAATTATTCTAAAAATCTATAATTATATGCTTGAAATGTGTTGGAAGGAGTGTCTGCAATAACAATTGTTATGTGTTCTTCTTTATCGTTATGCAAATGATTTTAGGAAAATACTTAAAAGCTTTTGAATGACTCTCACGCACTTTCTAAATACTAGCTTGTTGAATGTTGCTACTACATGTTTGTAAAAGGAAATTAAAGCGTGTCAGAACATTATAAACTTAGAATGAAATCATTTCTACATGCATTGACATCTTAATCAGCAATTAATTTTGGAGTCAAAAACATTTTATCGAATTTATTTACCTGAAATGTTTACATGGAAAAAGCGAATATTTGATTTAAAATTTAAATTTATTGCAAGCATTAGATGATAATTAAGGAAAGTTAGTTTAACTCATGTTGTTGCCAATCCATGTACGGAAACTTGTAACACGTGCGAAACCAGCAGGGAAGCCTCTTTCACAACCAGCAGCAGCACCGAAGGAAACAACTCCAATTTGCCATCTACCTCCAGCACGTCCAACAGTGAGTGGACCGCCTGAGTCTCCATTGCATGTTCCACGTCCTCCAGTTGTTGCCATGCAAATTGTGCTTGCAACGACGACGTTAGTTCCATAGGTTTGTGCACAGACAGCATTGGTGATAATGTTGTTTGAAACAACCCGTAAGGTGGATGAAGTTCCACATCCAATAATTCCATCACACACACGGCCCCATCCAGAAACAGTGGCTAACTCTCCAGCGAATGATTCAGAATTTCCGACTGGTGGAAGAGGAGCCAATTGAATACGTGCAGTCATTGGAACAACTGCGTTTGTAATCATGGTGGCAATATCGTTGTTCAAGTTCGATGGATTGTAATTAGCATGAAGACGGTAGTTGGCATTTGGAATAGTTTGACGCTAACGAACAAATTCAATACTTAGTAAAAATAAGATTTAGTAAATAAAATTCTTTTCTTACATGTTGTGTTGCTTCGGTGGTCAATCTGTTGTGAGCACCCAAAATGACTTGAGAATCCAGTGAATTGATTGGGCAATGAGCAGCTGTCAAAATGACTCTGTTTGAGATAACTGAACCACCACAAAGACCGGTACCAGTTGCGAAACGCATCAATACAGCAGCTTGATAAGGATGAGCACCAGGAGCAGCTTCTGTGCCTCCAACAATTCTTCCAGCGGGGTTTGCAACACCTGGCAAAAGAGCTGGGTCACGACCTTCCCAGAATCCGGGAATGTCTTCAACGGGAACGACTGTTGAAAGGTCAAGATTGGCCCAGAACTCTTCTGATTCAACATCAGCATGAACTGAAACAGCCACGAAGGCGAAAAGAGCAGCGAATAAAAGTTTCATCTTTATCGAGGTTTGAATTAAACTTGTTGAGTTTGCAGTCAAAACTTTCTGCTTTTATACACAAGAAAAATCGAATTCTGAATAAACAAACATAAATTTGTTTAGGCTTTTAATTGCATATTTTATCAAAAGATTACTTGTGGGATTTCCCAGTCAAAACTTCAGTCTTGGTTTATATGAAAAGTGTAAAAATAAACGATTGAATATCTCAAAATGCTTTTAATAGAATTCGATTGTTTTTTGCATAAAACTTGAGACTTTTAGGATTAAACTTTTATCTAATCGCAAGAGCTTTTATGATCTCAAAAGCATGGCGATGAAAGTCTTTAAATAATTTCTGGGTTTTCCTAATCAAATCTTATCATTATTGTGGTAAGCAGAATCACAATAAATTTGTAGCGGTAAAGATCAAGTAAAGATATGAGATTGATTTTTATTCATTCGTTTTGTCTTTAGAATTGTTTTCAGTTTTGGAAAAAAGTTTAATTGCTTAGATGTTCACTAAATTTAAATTTTTGTTTTCTTAAAGATCTTTAAAAATAATTAAATAAATAAATAAACGAAACGTTTGAATCGACTCAACAAAACATCATAAATTTCAATCACACTTACAATAAATCAAAGAATTATTCTTAATCCACATTCGATTACTGATAAAATTTATTGTGAAGTTAAAAACTCGATCAAAATGTTGAAAAATTTCAGTTTCGAATTTTAGTTTCATAATGAAGGTCGTCGTTTTAGCACTCGCGCTTTTTGTCGCATCAGTTTCTGCTGATACCTTTGACATTGATTGGAGTAATGTAAAACCAATCACACAATTTCCTGAATTCTGGGATAACAAACCAGCAGAATTGAGACCATCGGCGAGTTATTTCGAAAAGTTTGAGAATGACAGAAGATCAGGACGAATTGTTGGTGGGCAAATTGCAGAGTAATTAATAAATTTGACAAAAATGAAGAAAATTGATCACGATTAAGTAAAAATTTCAGACCACATCAATTCCCCTATCAAGTAGCTTTGTTGATCACCTTTGCCGGTGGAACTGGTTTATGTGGTGGATCTATTCTCAGTTCACGTACAATTTTAACAGCTGCCCATTGCATTGATGGCGCATCAAGTGGAACGGTCATTCTTGGAGCTCATAACAGATTAGTCAATGAACCAAATCAAGTTCGAGTTGCTATTTCCGATCCAAGTTTATTCATCATGCATCCAGATTGGGATCCTTCACTCATCAGAAATGATATTGGAGTGATTCATTTGCCAACAGCTGTAACTTTGAATGCCTTCATCCGACCCGCTATTTTGCCGCTAACTAGTGACATCAACAACAGTTTTGCTGGTGAACTTGGAGTTGTCAGTGGCTGGGGAGTGTTCAGTGATGCCATTGGTCAAGCATCTGATGTCTTACGATATGTTTATGACAACGTCATGACCAACACTGCATGTTCAATTCGTTTCCCAGGTAATTATTGAAGTTGAACTTCAAAGAGAAATTTAAACAAAATATTTTTACATTCAAAGGCGTCATTCAACCCTCAAACATTTGTGTCACTGGTACAAATGGTCGTGGAGCTTGTTCAGGTGATTCTGGCGGTCCATTGACAGTTCATCGTGGTGGAGAATCAATGCAAGTTGGTGTCGTCAGCTTTGGATTGGCATTAGGTTGCGAACGTTCATGGCCAAGTGCCTTCGTTCGTGTCACTTCATTCCTTCCTTGGATCCAACAGAATTTGGTCTAAATTAACACCCGGAATTGTTTTTTCATAATAAATTTTCCTACTAATAAAAGGATTGTTTGATAATTAGTTAAAGATTTATGTTTTAATCAATGAATGATTGTCGACGTCATTTCGGTATCGATAAGCGTCCGAACCTTCCAGTTACTGATAAATGGATTAATTAAAAATTGAATTTTTATCACAAATTATTCTTTATCTTTACATAAAGAATTTGGACATGAGTAAAGATTATTTAAAAACTTCTTATCGTACATTAAAAACAGTTCAAGTTGAAAATTTCTTTTAGTTTTTATTTTGTCATCGAATCGTCGAGACTTGAACTTGAGAAAAATAATTTAAGTAACTGCAATGGAGAGAATGTTGTTCATTGTTTTGTCTGCTGTTTTAGTGATTGCACAAGCAGATAACATTGATATAGACTGGTCAAGAGTTAAACCACTTGAAAGTTATGCAGAGTTCTGGAAGGGAAAATCTTTTCAACCTCCATCAAGTTTTTTCGAGAAAGAAAACATCGAAGGAAGAGTTATTGGTGGCGTCACGCCAGGTCGTCATGATTTTCCTTTCATGGTTGCTCTTATCTCTCAAATGCCATTTGGTGACGCACTTTGTGGTGCTACACTCATATCTCGATGGTCGGTTTTAACTTCAGCTCATTGTGTTTACGGTTCATCAAGCACGGTGGTAATTTTAGGTGGATCAAATATTGAGAATCCCGACGAACCATTTCAAGCAAGAATCAGAGTTCAATCGTCGAATTACATTTTTCATCCTTTCTTTCGCGAGGGAATATTCAACAGTGATCTTGCAATCGTGCGGTTTGATTTTCCTATTCATGTCTTTACTCAAGCGGTGCGTGCTGTTAAACTTCCTGATGCTTCCATGATCGATGATTTGTTTGCTAATGTCAACGTAATCATGATGGGATTTGGAAAAGATTCGGACAGTGCTGATAGATACACCCAGAGGCTGCGTTACGTTGAAGCAATGACTATGAGTAACTTAGCGTGTTCAATTCGTTACACAGGCAGAATTGATAGCACGCACATTTGCACAAGTGGACTTTTGTCAACTGGAATTTGTCATGGTGATACTGGTACACCTCTTGTTATTAATGTTGCTGGTGAACTTGTGCAGATTGGCGTTGCAAGCTTTTTCTCTGAACTAGGATGTCAAGTTGGTTATCCAAGCGTCTACGCAAGAATTACATCGTTCATGTCATGGATTGAACAAAACGCTGAATAAAGTTTCTTTGATTGATAAACAAAACATTTCTTTTAATGATTATTCTGCAAATAATTTTAATTAATCTCGCAGATGTTTTATTACAAATAATCTTAATGATGACAGTGAATTGGAAAAGTTTTCATTCATTTTCATTTAAAGGTTTTTAAAATTAGATTTCTAAAATTAATTTTATCTTAGTACGATAAACATTTAAAGTAATTCAAAAGTTTAAACACAAATTAATCATAATTCATTTCAAAATCGTCGTGATATCTTCCGGCATAGCCTGAATTTGTTGTTATCGATGATATGTGAGATTCTTCATCAAATGTCGTAATTTTATGAAAATTGTCATTAGAACATGTCAGATGCGTGTAATCAGATTTTCTAGTTGAATCTTTGGATGATGACAAAGAAGATTTGCTGTTGTTTAGATCGGGGACTTGTTGGAATATGTAAGGCCAAGTCTGTGAAGAAAGAAAAAATAATTTTCTTCATTTAAGAATCATTTCCGGAAACTTAATACTTTTCCATAATACTTTTTATTGCTTGTGCATCATGATAAGATTTTATATTTGAATAAACAAAGTTTTAGGGAAATGAATGCGGGACACTTAAAAAATCCTTTAAAAAGAATTTGAAGTCAAAACAATTGCTACTCAACAGTTATTATAAACAATAAAAAACAATGTAAACAAGATGTTAACATAATCGTTTAAAGTGTGTTCACAGCTGGGTCATGAAATGCCACACATAATCAGGTTAAAATTACTGAAATAATTTCTGCTTACAATTTCTCGACGGACTTTTCCGCCTCTTAAGAACTTTTGATTCGTTAATTGATTTTTTGTTTAAGACTTTCACCGTTCATTTCCCTTTCAAAGTGACAGTGACAAGCAAGGAAGAAATGAAAAGTAGTTAAAGTCACTTTTCACTCTGACAAACCACACCTGGATCGATTTCTCGAGAGTGTATGCAACGTTAGAGTAGAAAATAAAACGTTAAAAATAATTTTCCCGAGACGAAAATGTTCAGTTTACATAAAGTTGAACAATGAGATGTAAAAGTTTAATTTCAGATTTGATTTTCTTAATTACCATTTTCTGTTGATGCGGCATTTTATTAGTGATCTCGTTTACAGGTTGTCCATCGAGTGTTGCTGTTAGATAGGCAATGTAATTCCGTGCAAGTCTCAATGTGTCTAACTTTGATAACTTTGTGTCGTGTGGCACCCACGGAATAATTGTTTTGAGTCGATAGAATGCCGACGATAATACTCGCATTCGAGCTCTTTCACGAGCATTTGCTGTGTTACGTTGCACTGGAGAATTTTGTTTGTCATCTGAATGAATATTTGAGGAAAATAAAACAGAAATATTGTCGATGACATAATGAACATTTCAAATCACAACAACACTGACCATTTGAACAAACTTCATCATCATGAAAGTCATCTAATGTATCTAAATTAGGTGAAACTGATTTTTTGCGAATTGAGACTTTCTTCAGTTTCATTTTTCCACCACAAACTTTAAAACATAAAATTCACAAAAAATAAATTCAATCTCGACACTCGATATTAATATGTCCGAAGATGATCTTTAACTAATTTATTCAAACAAAATTTTCTTACACATCCTAAGTGGAAAACATGAAATGTGATTTTGACATGTTAAGAGTTGCCCAAGTCACAGATTTATCTTCAAAAATATCTGAAATTCTTGAACAGCAACCACACTCAAAACAATGTTTACAAACAGAATACGAACAAATTGGTTTTCATATTGTTTGGAGGGCGTCAACCAATTGCTTTGAGACATGCGATGATTGGTTGATATTTTTAGCAGCTTTTATGAATGGAAATTCTCTTTTTCCTCAAGTTCATGATCTCAATTAAGAAAGTTTATTGTCACATTAAAGAGACATAATTTATTGGTTTACTTCGTAGATATTTCAGGATGGTTAAATCCGTTGGATAATCTCTGACGAGGATCTAAAGTCGATTGGATTCTAAAATTCCAGCGAAAATTCATTGAAATTTTTCTCCGAAAGAGTTTCGACCTTTCTTTAGTAACGTTTGGATGAGAAAGGAGGTTCCGGTTGTGTCATAAATAAACACATGATCACTTTCCATTACAACATCAATTTTCAACCAAATTGACCGCAAAATTTACACATTTCTTCCGTGATGTAAAATTTGTTTACACAAGAATTTTGTTTCCAAAAATTTGTGACATAAAGAAAATAATTTCACTCTCGGTAGGATCCTGGAATCATGTGAAGTGATATTTTGTCTTATGGAAACTTGATACGTTTTAAAACATGACGAATGAGAGTAAATGTGTTTAAAAAGGCGAGAAAAAGATTTATGTGAACGTGAGAGAGATTCAAACTTATGTTTAACATGTGAAAAATTAAGTGTTATGATAATCATAACATATTTAGTTATGTTAAAATTAAAACACATTGAAAAGGACTCCATCAATTCATTCGTATTGATCAACAATTTCAACCACACATCTTCTAACTGCCGTCAAAATTGGATTAGGATGTCATGAAATCTGCTAGCATTTATTAAGTCTAGATGTGACGATTCTTCATTGATAAAATATTTTTTAATTTACTTTTTCTTATCTAAGTTAATACACTCAAACTGTTTGTGATAAGAAGAAAAGTTTAAGAAACTCTGGAAATCAAAATTTAATTTCTTCATTTCAATAATTCAACTTCTTTTTATTCAATAATGATTTCAGGGCTACAAATATAAATACATTCGTTCGATTCAGTTTTTTTGGTTAATAATTTAATAATTTCTTTATTGAAAATTATTTCGAAATTTTTAACTTTTCACGGAAATATTTTGAGAATAATTTCTTTCAAATTTTCCAACTAAACAAATCCTTCCGAAGAATTCTTAAATAACTAAAATATCAGTAGATAACCATCATTCCATGTATATATTTTTCATTTATTGTTTCACCAGCATGAAGTTCTAACCAACTCATTATGAGGCATTCAAAGACCTTAAATTGTCATTTGACCAAAGCTGCATGGAATCAAAAATTGTTTTTTATTTAATTTTTTGAGATAAACATTACTCACTACTAATACCCTAAGGTTTTTCCTGCTTTATTATTCATCGGTTAAAGTCTTCTAAACAACAACTATTTAGTATTAGTTAAGAAAATTACATCAATATAATGTTTTCTGATCATGTCATTGAGTTCATAAAAAGTTCGAACCTTCCAAAAGTTTCTTTTACTGTTCTTTTGTCAAAAAAGAGATTTTTATTAAATATTTTGCGTTATCACCTCAAGTTAATCAACATCATGATTGCTTACATCTAAAAAAGGGAATAACTTTGGGATATGAATGAAGAAGCTCTGCACACATCAATTTCAACAAAGTTATCATCAAAGTTTTTTTTATGAAAACCAAAATTGATTAATTTAATTAGGTAATTACTTTTTAACAGTTTCGTTGAGTGTGCAAAGGAACAAACTTATTGCTTAACATTTCTTTATTCTTCGTGATCATTCATTCGATCACTAAATTTACATGCTGAACAATTTCACAAATTCGGATTAATTTGATTTCTTTTTGACGTTAATGACTCGTTAATGATGTCCAATATAAATGAAAAAGTTTTCAAGCTAAAATATTTTTCATCTAAAAACTATTTTCTCTTTCCTTCACACTGAGATTCAAGGTTCGGAATAGATTTTTAGATTGCAAAACGATTAATTTTTATTTGATAACTTGCGGTGGATGTTTGTTACTGTAAGTTCTAAAGTTTTCTTCATTTTTCTCAGTGAAACTAAACGACAAAATACATCGAGTATCAGCTAATATTAATTAATCAGAGGACAATTGGTTTGGTTTGGTCGTGATGAAGATTGTGCGCTGATTTAAATGTGACTGATCAAGTGACAATTGACATTAATCTAAAGGATTTCGTTGACATGGTTCATAGTTAAATGAATGAACCGTAGGCTAATATTATAACAAAGTCTCATTTTCGTCTTCGTCATCATTCATTTTATAATCGTAATCATCGTCGTTTCAGGATGTTGCACCAACAGCCGCTTCTTTAAATTGTGTGCGTGGATAATTCACAGGTGAACTTTGTGACGACGAATTACTGTCAGAATGATTTACAATCGATGGAACTGTAGCAGTTGCAACCAATGGATGATGTGTTGGACTTTGTGACGGTGTGCTGTTAGTACTTTTTGACTTCCTAAACCAATTTCCTAATCTTCGTTTGTTCATATTTGATGATGTCGCTGATGGGTTGTAGTCAATGATGATTTGTGACGGCGCTGCTTCTTTCGAAAGTTTTCTTGGCTTCTTTGGCAATGTGTCACTGAATTTTGGCTGTTTCACTGGTGATTCCATTGACGGTAAATTTGGTGCGACATTTCCAATCAACAATTGAAAATTTGGATCAACATCAATGCCTCGTTCATCGTACTCTTGGTGGTGTTGTCCATTGGCATCATCCGATAAATTGTCATCATCAAGTCCCGGTGCAAGTTCCGAAACAAAAAGACTAGAACCACAAAATTGTCGTTCTGCTGACAACGTGTTTAAGAATCTCATTTTACTTGAACTTGAACGGAAACAAAAATCAAACCATTTGCCTCTCGTTTCACAAAACATTCGAAGAGCGTTCTTAAGATTGACACCAAACATTTTACCGTCGGGTAGATTAAGAATCCGACAATTATCCAGAAATATTCTCCCTTTATAAATGTAACTTGTTCGTTTTAATAAATCTTTCTTACAGTAAACCAATTGACGATCGAACAAGAACAAAGTGTATGTGTTGTTCCAAAGATTTGGCGATACACGAATGGCGTCGGTTTGAAGAAACAATCTCGTACTATGAACATTAATAGAAGGTCCTTGAAAGTTTTCAAATCTCGATTGCATTCGTGATAAATATTCACTGTGACGTTTTCCTTCATTCACCATCTCCGTGACACGTTTCATTGCTGACAACGCGACTTCAAAAATCTCTTTCGAGTCAATTGTTTCTAAATCGTTTTTACTTAATTGATGAACATCAAGCTTAAGAAGTATTTCTTTACGACTTTTCGAGTGTTTCACTAACTCACTAAGATGTAATGGGTAACGACAAATTCTTTGAATTGGTGCTAATAAATGGGCAGAAAGCGGTAGTTCAGGAAGATTTTGTGCAACACGACAACTAAAATAAAAAAAGAAGTTAAACATTTTTTATTTATAAAAATTATAAAAATATCTTACGATTCCAGAATAGCAGATGCTTCTTTATTGCCAGAAAAATTCTCAAGCTCCATTAAAGCTCTAGGATATGAATTGCAATACTGTGAATAGACCATAAATGCCGACTGGAATTCAAGGAAAACTTCAGCAATTCTTCCATTTGGTATTGCAAGTCTTAAAGCTTCCAAGAATGTTTGTTGAAATCTGTAAATTTGTTCCATATTTGAGAAGATTAAAAATATGCTTTCAAGTGAGAAAACTTCAGGATGATCCTTCATTTCTTTAATAAATCTGAAAATGAGAAGAAAAATAATTGGAGTTAGATTAGATTAGGAACTCAGATTAGATTAAGAATTTTAATCAGGATTAAATTTTCTTACCCTTCGACAAGTGAATTTAGCAGCTTGACGTAATTAATTTCTGTTTCCAAAAGCTCTTTAATCACATTATCTTTCATGATTTCACTGTTCGATTGACTAGATGAAATAGATGGTGCAGCTGATGTGGGTGGTAATGAGACGAGTTGATTATCACAATATTCAGATGATGAATGACTGTTGATTAATTTTCGATTGTTTCCGAATGATGGCATGACTTTCACGAAATCTTTTGGAAACCAACCATGTTGAATTGTTATGGAATTATCGCCAGTAACGACTGCTTCATATTTTGTACGTCCCCACCACCACGGACCCGTTTCTCGCTTCAAAACCTCTACTAAAGTTCCTTTCTCAAGTGACAATTCTTGTGGACCTCCAGCTTGAAATTGGTATAAAACTTCGGCATAAACGAGACTATGTTGTCCATCATCTTCAATCTCTTCAACATGATTTGACGTTAAACTGTCAGTATCTGATCCGTCATCATCACCATCATCATCGTCATCATCAATGTGCTTCAACTTTTCTAAATCATTCATTTTCTTTGTCTTGTCACAGACAATCACGTCAAGATCTGATGGTTGACTAAGTGAACGCTTTGTATTCACCTGCACACTTGATGTCTTATTGTCGCTTTTATTTTCCAAACGAGTTGAAGTTGCGGTTGAAAGTTTCGCTGAGTTTGCTCGTCTCACTTTAGCAGTATGCTGTGGTGATACATCCTTAAATTTCATAAAAATTTCATTCAATTATTCATTATTTTAATCTGCAAGAGAAACTCACCATGCTTGGAACATTTTCCGACAGATTTTCATCATTTTCTAGTTCCACTTGAATCCCTGAATCACCAGAATTGCATTTATCACGTCGATGTGATTTAGTCTTTCTCCTTTCTTTACTTGATCTCCAAACTAATGGTCCGAATCTTTGTAATAAAAATAAAAAGAAAATTTGTTCTTTGTTCTTGTTTTAATGAAAAGCATGATAAGTTTACCGATGATGTTTTGATTCATTCGTTTCCAGATTGTTGTCAGCAGATGGCACATTAGATTTTCCGTTCTTGAAGAAAGTCTTCTTAAATTTCTGTAAGACGCTTCCTGAAGATGCTGAAATTAATTTATTCGCTTATTTATTATAAATAAATTAATAAATCTTCACTAAAACTTACCACTTTGCTGATGACTTCTCTCATTAAGCTCGCTTTGATTTGGAATATTTCCGTTTGGTTCTGGCTTTATTGAATACTTTGGCGATGTGTTGGATTGGCTTTCTACAGGAGGTTCAGTGAGTGAGGGACTGGAAACAGCTCGAATCTGAAGTGGCTAAAGAAGAAAAAGATAAAAAATTGTTAAAGAGCATAATAAATAATTAAAATGTACGCGAGGTTATCATCAGTGCATTAATAATCTTTTAAAACATGATTTAATATCAGTAAGCTTCTTAAACGTTGTAATTTCATCTTAATTACATTTTATGTGTAGTACAACGAAGTTATCTTTAATTACTTGTTTCATTAGTTGACCACAAAATGAAATCAAAGAATTTCTTTTGAAGCCAATGAAATGTAAATAAAAGCATCGATTTATGTAATGTTACGAAATGATATTTGATTCGTATTATATCAAAATGATTTTCTTTCCGAATCCCCAAGTCAGTAGAAAGTTGACAATTCTTTTGATGAGAGATTTTCAGTGACGTTATAAACAAAAAACATTTTTGTGTTGTTTTGTTATCTGTTTGATCATAAATCCAAATGTAGCCTAATGAGATTTTACTTTTTTATCAGAAGATTTCAGATGATTTACAAGCAAAAAGTTAAAAAATAAAATGATAAAGATAATCAGAAGAATTTTAATCTCATAAAAATACTTCTCGAAAGCCCATGTGATTTATAAAATTGGCTACAATTACTCAACTCATAACTTTTCTTCACTTTCACATTTAAAGAACTTTCGTTTTAAACTTTAATCGACATTAAAGTCATTTGAAGAGAATGAATTTGCTTCATTTCCAATCAACCAATAAATCATTCGCAAAGCTTTTGCTGAACTTAATTGCAAACTTTGTAATAAGTTCGATAGTGGAAGTTGAAACTTTTTATTTCATCATCAAAAACAAATTTTGCTAATTAATCGGTAAATAAACTTTTTCTTTTGAAGTTGTATTTTGTGTAAATCGAGAGAATAAGAAAAAGAAATGAAATAACTTTAATTGGATAACTCAATTTCTTTAAAAGTTTCACGAAACAATATTTTCATTAGAAATTTAACGAATTGTTGATAAAGCTGTAAGCATATCAATAAATATTTACCATCATGAATGTAAATTGCGTGAAAATCTCGTTATTCATTTTAATATTAGATTTGATTCTTTTTTTATAAGCTTTTGTTATTACTGAATGTTTTTATCGCATTTTCTGACAACTTTCTTCAACACGAAACAATGAACGGAGCACGAATTGAATTTAATTCTATTAAAATATTTCTTGACCAACAAACAAAACTGTTTCTTAATTTTCGTTCTTCAAAAACTTTGACGTGAGTAATCAGAAAAGAATTTTTAGCTTGAACAAGTTCAATTCGAGTATTCAAGTCTTTACAGCTCAATTTGTGATAAGAAACTAACGGGCGATTGAAAATTAATGAAATCATGACTTGAAGGGAAGGTCGAATTGAGGTTCTTATCTTATCAATAAAATATTTAGGATTAGTAGTTTGCGAAAGATAGGAAAGAACTTCTGTGCAAACTCAGATAAGATGCCAATAAACTGATGAGTTCATTTCTACAAGCTGACTAAACATTGATTTCGAAATTTAATTTTCATTGCCTCAAAATCAACATGAAAATATTTTAACTTGAACTTGAAATGAAATTAAAACAAAATTCAAGATGTTGCTAAAGAAAACTTTCAAAAGCCGCAAGAAAGAACGAACACGTGACAACAAATTGAAAGGAGGCGAAAATCTTCAAGAAATTCTCTTGGGGGCGAGAAATGTTTTGACACATGTCGAACAAGTGATTGAAGTGATTGAAGTGATGTTTACTCGTTCACTCGCTCAATAACTTTCCACACATCTCATTAATATTTCATATCGTTGGATTTGAAATATTGTATGGTGAATTAATCGGATTATTCTTCGATTTTCAAATAAAAAAATGCGCGACAATATTATAAATTATTCTTGAGGTTTATGGATTTAATGTTGTAATATTTTTCTATTGAATTGGAAATTATTCTTTCCTATGAATTTATGCAACGTTGTCATCTGTTAAGTATTTCTCATTCGCCAACTTCCACCCAACATATTTCCATAGACTGTCACAAAGCAATTCAATTACAAAATTCATTAATTGATTTCTTGATAAAATCTGATCGATCACATTTCAATAAGTTGAAATTGCAAATTTGATAAACAGTTGTTGAACATTTCCAGATAGTTCGATCATCAAACATTCTCTGATGTTATTTGCAAAATGAAAAATTGGAATAATCAATCAAGTTCTGTTAATTGAATATCAGTTGTCACTTACACACACACACACACACGCAGAGGGATGTGAAAGTTTAATGAAAATTGATTGACTAGTTTGACTTCTATTTTATCGATCAATTGCTTAATTTAGATCAACACACATTCGTGATTAGGACAATTTAACTTCCGGAAAGTTAGCATCAATTAATTATCAACAGTAATTTCATCGTGTTAAACTAGCGAAAAACATTTCAAAATGCTTCCTTCTGGCAATCGAAGATTATCTAAACCACCATAAAACTTTTCTCATTCTAGTGAGATTTCAACTTTTTATCAATCTACAATAAAAACGTGAGACAATTAAACGAATGATTGTCAGAAGATTTGTGAAAATTTCCAGCCCACATTTATTAATTAGCTGAAAACTTTTTGATCCACTTTTAAACATGTGAACATGTTAAAGTAATTTTCCGCACTTATTCACATCATCTCAGTCTAATGAATAGAAATCAAATAAGGATTAAGAGTGTTTGATAATCACACGCCTCGAGGCAATTATCTAAAGCTATCGATGTCAATTCTGAGCAATTAAGTTATATGATATGATGAAAAAACATTAAATTAAAGAAAATATCAACAACAGGAAGCAAATCAATGTAACTTAATATTAATGACATTCATCAATGCATTTTGTAATTTAAGTTTCTTGTTTAGAAGGTCAAAGCTCTAGAAACAGTAGCAAGAGAATCATTCAAGTATTTTCGCTGAACTAGAATTGGAATAAGTTATTTCATTCCTTCAAATCAGTTCATCTTATCGTCATATGAAACGTGGCATATTGAAGAAGATAAATTTATTTGAATTTCCATCACGAGTAAAAAATAAATTGGAACAACAGAACTTGAATAAAAATATCTTCGTTCAAGTTCTAATAAGAGTTGGGGAGTGGAAAAACTTTTCACAGAGCACTTTCGCGATGCTTCTTTGAGTTTGGGTTATTTTGAGGTCGACGACTTTTCTTCTCATGCATCAGTATACAACAAAGTTTCTTATCATCACTAGAAAAGACAAATGTTTCACTTAATTGTAGTTTTCGATAACATAATGGAGAACATTATTGCAGGCTTCCGAATGGTTTCTAATGGGAAAACTTATATCAATTGTCATGAATTGAATACTCAAGAAATCAAACAACACAAAAAGGAAATCGATTTGCGAAGAAAAATTTCGTTTCATACAAAAAGTAAACAAATCTTAATGGATGCTTTCCGGATATTCAATACCATCTTTACAGATTTATGGGAATTGTTGAAGATCATTTCTCAATCGCTTAAAAAAGAATTTAAGAAGTTTTATTGAAAACTATGAACTTCAACAATTTTCAATGAGAGTTGAGTCAACTTGACATCATTTTCCAAAGGTTTTCGACTGTTTTTAAACTTTTCTTTCAATTTAATTTTTCGTTTACGTTTCTAGAAGAAAAATCATGAAATGTCATGTTCATTAAATAACAAACAGCGCAGTCAAGTGACAAGCATTTTTTCCACGTTTTTTATTTCATTTCTTTTGTTAAAGGCCGCGAGTGAAGCAAATACAGAAATTTTGTGCTTTTTAGGGATAACGAAGCGAGAAACATAAATTTTATTAATCATTCAGCATGAAGGAAATATTTAGGTCGACTTGAATTCTGGTTATGGGGAAGTTAAGCAAAGATTAAATCCAAATTTAATTAAGTAAAAATCTCGGAATGAAAATTTAATGTAATTTTTATCATAACAAATTCACATGATGATCTGATTGTGACAGTTCATTACTCGACTATTAGCACTATGTTAATAAAGTCATACAATGATCAATGACAAATTACAATTGACACGTTAATTTTATTTCTCATCACGCAAAATGATTATTAGGAGAAGAAAGAAGAAGAAATTATGTAACGCCGAGAACAGTTAAGCTTTCCTTTCTTAAATAAATTATTCATTGAAAAGCTTTACGATATGGAAAAGTTTACACTCGTTTTCATTGGTTGGGTTCATGAAAAGTTTTGGGTATCATGAGAATCAGATTGAAAGAAGCACAACAATGAAATGGAGAAAAGGAACTTTTTAATTATTTATGTCGGATGTGATGAGATTCAAAATTCATGAAAATTATTTTCATCAACATTCTTACCATTTAGTTAAGCTTTCGGAGAAATTTTCTTTGAAATTGGAGCATCAGCAGACATGTTTGCGTCTGAAAACTTTTCTTTTTGTACACAAACGAACGAAAAGAACGCAACAAGTTTCTTGAAGCTTGACTCAAATTTCTTTCAGATTTTTAATTATAAAACATTCAAATGAGTGTGACGTTAAATTACATCATCAAGCATTTCACAATTTTAAAGTCTGTCCACTTCAATAGTACATTAAAGCACGTTTAAAGTCAATTTCTCACTTCAACTACCAACACAACACAATGTGGTACTTCACACAACAATGTCGCTCAATTTGCAGGAAATTCCACGAGTTTTCAATTAATTCCTATTGCTTTAGTGAACTCTATGAATGAAGCGTGTGTTAACACATGACTAATGATGATGTCGTTTGGTGAAAATGTGAATCAATTTCTCTTATATTTACACTTTGCTGTTAATGTTCAGAGAAACATTTCAGACACCAGCGTGGAGCAAGACTGAAATCGTTTTACATGGAGAAAGAGTTTTGTAGACGTTGAATAAAGTGAATGTTGTATTAAATGCTTTTTGGCATGCGCCAAGAACATTGTGTGAGTAAATTCTGGTGTTGCCTGATTCTTCATACTTCAACTTTCTGCAACTTTCCCCCAAAAATAAGCTCATGAAAATTCGAATAGAAAATTTTATCACAAATGGAATAGAATCAGAAAACGTGAATTGTAATTAACATCTCTCTTAATTCAAGAGAAGCAGAGTATAAGCATAAAGATAATTATGCTTCATACAATTTCATAAAATCCTCACATGGAAATATTTTATGTAAACAAGTGAAATTTAAGAGCTTTCAGCAGCTGCTGTCAGTTATGAAATCTAATGGCACAATCTATTATAATGATTTTATTTCCTTTTTTCTCTCTATTTGGTATTCTAGGCCGTCATTTAGTTAAATCAGGTTTCATACAGCTTTAAACTTTTTTTTAACAAACACTTCAATGTTTGGTATGCTTGACTAACATTTCAGTGCACTTTGGAATAATACAAGAATTGATTCAACTGGTATTTATTACAGATCAGTTCTGTATCTATTTGATACTTTCATAACCTGGTTTCCTACATAAATCTCACAATTCCATGGGCTAAAAAAACTTGTTCAATTTCTTCAAACAACGTTCATATTTATTACGAGAATGTTTAATCACGTTCTGAGTTTAATCCTCCCGAAAATAAATGTTTTCTTGTCGAATCACCCATTCATAGCAGTTAAATAAATAATAAGGAATTGACACTCACCGAATGTGGAGGAAACATGGCTGATAATTCATTGGCATCGGATGATAGATTTCTGTAAGAAAATAAGAAAAAGAAAAGAACAATTAATTATTATGCTTCTTTATGCGGTTGTTTTATGTTTTATGTTTAAAATAAATTACTTCAAGACAGTAGATATAAAAATATTTCAAATCATAACTCTTAGAAAGTTGCTTTTGGTTAGCTCACTGAAGTTATTAAAACCGCAAAGTTTCACTGATTTATTTGACATGATGAAATTGTAAAAAAAAATTAAATTTATTAAAAGTCTTCTGTCCTGTTCTTACAGCTTTCTTTAAATCGAATCTGTTGGAAGTTCGTGACATGAATAAGAGAAAGCGATTAAAAGTCTATTAGAATTCATAAGAAAATGTCAAAATAATTTCTAGGAAGCTTCGGGACATTTTGATCTTTTATTTCAACTATAATAAAATGTTTTCTACCTGACATCGAGAGTTGAGCAACATAAACAACGAAAAGGTATTTCATGTATGAAAAGGAAGAAGAAGGGAAAGGAAAAGGACAAAATTGTATCGAGTTCGTTTGGCATAGAAGTGATTGACGTGAAGATTTCACATCTCACATGAAATGTTAGCTCACAGCAGTTACTTAACGTGACTTCTGCTAAACATTAAGAGAAATGAAGAAGAAAAAGGTCCAAAGAGGTTTACGAAATATCTTCAAACATCCTTAACGCATTCTCACGATTTCGATTACAGATTTCCTTGGAAAACCACAAGAAATCTTCTCATTCTTAATTGCGATAAATTTTCTATATAAAATTTGATTTTCGAGTGTTTGATCAAGCCATAGACAAAATTTTAGTCGCTTTTTTACACATTCAAAGTTTGAAATTTGTCGCGACGTTAATAAATTTTCTCAGAATATAATTTGCATAAATTTCAATGTCAATCATCTTTTATGTTCTTCAATTAAATGTAACACACAATTGAACTAACAAATTTCAATTTTTATGGGATGAAATTGAATTTTATTGTTTCCATTAGAACACACTGCACATTTAATTGAATTTCTTTCCACAAAACTGAAACTCAATTAGCATCAGTTCTACGGAACTTTGTAGATTGCAATAGCATGTCAAGATCTTCGATAACGAACGATTGCAATTGCTTCAATTCACTCTATCGGCTTAACGAGATTAAGGGAAAGAGAAAACAGCTATAGACGGCGACTAGTTAATTGCAGTTAGTTTCAATATATTTCTTTACACATGCAAATGATTTAAACAACAATTATTCGCTCGCAGTGCAATAGATTCTTGTTAGCGATCATAAATTTTAATTAATTCAATTAGTCATTTACAGATGTCATAGCTAGTTATGGAAATGAATTATGTTTGAGTATTTTCGAAGAAAGTTGTATGTCGATCCGCATAATAACAACATTACATTTTTTTATTCCAAGTATTAAATACTTTAAGTGTTAAAGTGTCTGCCAAGATTACAAACTCAAACCGCACAAAAAAAATTAACTAAAATTGCAGAAATAAAAAATCAAGTGGATGATCGAGAAGAAAAGCAATTGTAATTCTCATCTGTTTGGAGCGAAGCCAATTAAGAGAATGCATCAACAAATGATATAATTATAAGTTTTATAAGCTACGCAATAAAACATTCTTACGTTCCGGTAGAAAATGAATGATTCGGATGAAAAAGATTAAATGAACTTCTAAGTAGAGAACAAAACTGTTTCGTAAGAACTCGATTTGGTCAGTTTTTAACGCCGGAAATGATAAGTGATCGAAGTGACATGTAACAAAGATGATTGTCGTTCAATTTGAACACAGATACGCTTCATAGTTATCGAAAACAATTGAATTGTGCTTAATCGACCGAAAATTTTCCATGGACAACTTTACGATCGCTCTCAGTTAAAACTCGTCAATTTTCAACTATGACGAACTTTAATAAATGTTTACGGATTAATCGAAATTGTCCAAATGGATTATCAAGGAAGTTTTTAAGGCGAGTTACAGAAGTTTTTATTTTATGTGATTCACGATTCCTTTTTGTTCAAATAATTCATATTGATAACTTCTAGATCAACTTGCACGATTTTTTTATGTAATTTATAAAATAATTAACGTGGTCACAAACTATGAAATCTTCATCGTAATAACTTTGAATTATTTCAAGATTTTCAACAATTCAAACTCATAATCGCTTCAATTTGAAACAATAGAACCTTAACAAGTAATCGACTGTTAAATTACGTGGACACAAACAACACAATTGTAAGAAAATTAAAAAATTATTTACAACAAAAACATGAATGACCCTGTCAAAAAGATAAAATAATTTTAATTACAGAATAAAACTGAAAGATTTTATTGTTCAGTTTAACAAGCAGAGTAGAATCAATTACACTCGCTAATCATGAAGGTAGAATAAGAAAAATTGTATTTATGGTGGTGTCATCGAAGATCCTTCAAAAAAATCAGTGCAACACGTTTCATAACATTCTTCTTCTGTCATGAAGTTGTTTGCATTTCCATCACATCCTCCATAGTTGAATTGACTACATATTTGAGTAGTGGGATCGTAGTGCCATCTTGGGATGAGAGCTTCACATGGTCCTACGACTTGTGGAAGGAGGCAAACTACGCGAAATAATCAAATTTAAATGAACTAATCAACATTTTATTAAAGTTGTGCTCTTACTTCGTGTAGGATCTCCACCAGCTTTCACAGTATCCAAGCTTATAAAGATAAGCAAAACGCAAACGATTACAATTTTCATTCTGAATAAAAACTTTCAAACTTCAGTCTTCAACTTTACTAATGGAAATGATTTCTTTTATACTTCCAACTGAAGTTGAAGTTTAATTATCTATTTAGACACATCACGAAGTCGTGTCTTAATTGCAATTAAAAGTTGATAAGAACTTTTAAAGTGCAAAAAAGTTGACAAGAGTTTAATGTCAGAATCTACTCGACTTCTTTTTAATTTTTTATTTTCTAGTAAATTATTTAATAATTGACTTCAGATTGTTCCGAGGAAAATTATTTTCTTGTGTATTGATAATTTAAAGCGAATAAAGTCACAATTTGTACCAATTTCAAGTCTATTAATTTGTTGTTTACTTGATTGCTGCTTTTCACTTCATTCACTCCAAAGAATTGTCGAAAAAAAAAATCTTCCATCAATGTCAAGGCAACACAATCTTCTGTAATTAAAGTTTTGTTGCTTCCATCACAACCTCGATAATTATTCTAAAAGCAATTCCCATTTAAAAGAAATGAAGAACGAAACATTCTGAGTCAGAAACTATTTTTAAAGCCTATAATTAAATTATCTTTTGACTCAAAGCAATGTGAGAACCAACGAATAAAAATACAATCAAGAACTTGTAAACAACTGTTGAAGCATTATGCAATGATATAAACTGCACAATTGCAGATTTCGAGAATTGTCTGCATCGTCTTGATAAGTGCATAAAGAAAGTTTTAAAGAAGAAATAACTGAAACCTTCTTGAAAGTTTCCATGTGACTGCGTAAGCACTGAAGCATCTCGTAGATGCTATTACATCATAATGAAACCGCATTTTGTTGCTTCTTAAAAAGTGCTTAACATAAAAATAACGAGGTCTTTGTTACTTTGGAATAAATCATGAAACTATTCAGGTGTTAGTCGTGTTAAGAGATTCTTATAGGAATGTGAGACTCACTTAGTTCTCGTATAAATATCATATGATGCCATAAACGAGCAACGATTCTACGTGATGTTTTGGCGATGTTGCTTACAACGCTTTCTTCTTGCACCAGTCGTGACATGAGTCAGAACAAACACCAAGAAGAAATAAAAACCTTCTTTTGCTTCCTCTGTGCCATTTCTCACATTCATCTTCATGAACGAAGACTCTACTTAAGAACATCTGCTTTTTTATTTGCCACTTTTCTTATGGAAAACGGAAAGAGTGTCTCGAAGACATTATTATAACCGGATCAGAAGAATTGCAGTTATGGAGAAGAAAATGTTTGCTTTCTCTTATTCTTCACTATGTAAGTAGATAATGCCTAATCATTGAAAATTTCTGCCATTACGAATTCATTTTTATGTTTACAAAATCGTATTCGGAGTGAGAATGTTACTTGGAATAAAACTTGACGGATGAAAGTGAATAAGAACATAAAGATATCTACTTGAGATAGTATCAACCTTTCATAAAGCTCAGATAAATATAAATAAGCATCCAAACACTTTCTTCGAGATGATTGATTACGATTTTGACACGAAACGTGAATGTTTGTTCTCGGAAGCAACGTGATTGTTGGATTGCTTTTTTGTTTCTTGAAAGCGTCGTCATCCCTTGGAGATATTTTTACAACGGGCCTAACACATGAAGACAACACGTTGCTGTGAAGCTAGCTACGAATATTCTTTTATTATTGAGATATCAAATTTCTGTGCTATGAATGTAAGCACAGGAAACAGCTGTGCCATTATTTGGCATTCCTCTCATATTTATGAATTATAAAATGAAAAGTCTAAAGCGACATTTCTTTACAGGAAATTTTCTGTATCATTGACACGAGATTCAAATCAAAATTCATTTCCCGATTCTCAATTAAAAATGATTTTTGAATGCTTCAGAATCATGTGATGATCGAAAGGTCAAGGCTAATATTGTTTGTCTCACAGACGCTTAATTAATATTCATGTTGACTTTAACAAGCAAATCGCTTACAAATGAAAAATCAATACAAACTCACAATTGTTTCATTTTTTCTCATTCATTCTCTGTTGGAAACAATTGAATTCGAAGCGAAATACATTCTTTTATTTTCTAAAATCGTCTCACTGGAAACATAAAGCATAAGCGTGTTTATGTTCGTTTAATGCCCCCGAACAAAGCGTAACTTTTATAGATTTGAAAATATTTTTAATTCTCAATCAATCGTAAACTGTTTATGACTAATGAAAGAGCGTCAGAAACAAAGGAAATAAAGTAACGCCAGCGGGTGAAGGTTTGGACTGACAGAGACTAATGGAACTTCCTTTCAATTCTAACTTTAGATCTGTTGATCCGATCTGATCCTGTCCAGTCAAATATAAATTGTTCTATTCATTTTTTTGAAGGTTGAACGTATTCAAAAGAGAAACAAACTCATAAATATTTATGTTTCGTGTATTTTAATTTGATTGTTTATGACGACAGGGGAGAAAGATTACGATGAAACATGAATGAATATTTTTAATGTTAGGTCCAAGTCAGGGAATCAGAATATCTAATAATTCATAAATTCCTTCATCCTGTATATTGATTATGAAATATTTAACGAAAGGATTTCTTTGACCATCGATGTGAAGGGTTTAGGTTGACATGAATAAGTCGAAAGGGTCGCTTGGATGCTTTGAAATGAATCAACACTCATCTGGCGATCAAGAATGAATTCTTTTTGTAAACATGAAGGTTTGTTTAACTTCCGTGCTGAGTATAAGTTTTAAAATATTTGTAAGAGGAAAGGAAATCTTTCCTTGAAACGACAATAATTAAAAATGATCAATGAAATTAGAGAAATTTGTTTGAAAATTCCAATAAATCGCTTATGTGCATTGCCAACAAATATTCAGACATATTTTATTTCATTCGATTTAATGCAGTGCATTGTAAATAAAAGTTTATTTCATTTGTTGTTTGTGCACTTTTGCTTTCAGCTTTTGCGATTGACATCAATGAAGTGAAGACTTTGCTATTCAATAATTGCATGCAATTGAAACTTCACTTTAAATTTGTAATGTGGCTTCAATTTAATTAAACGATATAAAATTCTTTGTGTCTCCATTACAAATGACAGTAAACAGAGTTGGGTTAAAGTAAGATTAGGACAGATAAGAAACAAACTTTAGACATTTACACGAGAATTTGTTTTCCTTTCATTTTACCTTCGAGGAAAACTTTTACTGAATTGAAAGTAAACATCCAAGGAGAATAAGCAGAAACAAATGTAACAAAAGTAAAATTGCAAGCAAGCTAATATTTATGAAAATTCAACAGATGTGCCCTGAATTAAATTCACAATTTCATCTGGATAAGTGAATTGAGAAATGAATTGCATGAAGTTGAAGATGAGCCAATGGAAGTTCATGGCATCGCAATAAATATTTTTAAATTGAATAAGTAACATTTAAATTTCAATTTGAAGATCGAATTGGAATATAAAATAAAATTAAAATATTGATAAAAAAACAATAAGCAATGGTGGAGAATTGAAATCTATATCAATTGTCACATTAATGTTGAAAGTGACAATAAACCATGACGTATAAAAGATATTTATAGAGACACGATAAGAAAATATAAGTTGAAATTGTCTTTCAAACGTTTTGTTGAGATATCACTTCAACTTGACTTCACCACCACGTTTTTGTCAATAATAAAAAATCTTTTTCTCCTTTTTTATTTCTCTTTCCTTTTATCAAAGTTTCCTCTAAAAAAACGAGATAAAAATAAAATGAAAAAGGTCTGCAAGCTTTTCAAACACTTTTACAACGCTGACATGAAATAGGAAGATATTAAAAGACTTCTTAAAAGAGAATTTACCAAAGAATTAATTAAATTTTTCTCTTCATAAATTTCATTCAAAATTTTCCTACGTTCATCCTTTCAGATACAAAAACTTTTTAAACTTTATAAGCAATCTAACATTTTATATTGGAAACTCTTTTTTAAGGGTTGTTTCATATTTATTGTAACTGTTACATAAATAGGAACAAAAATAAGAAGAAATTTGCTGAAATTGTAGCTTGTTACGAGATAATGAAGCGAATCAAAACAAGACGATGACGTGACAGATTTTTAGACTGGATTTAATTTAATAACAATTGATTTGATGTATCAAGTTCATGTATTCCTTTATGTTAACTTATTAGACAATGAAATGGAATCAATCGAAAGTAATTATGATCATCACGAATTGTTTGCTTAGAATGGAATATGAGAAATGGTTTCAGTAATCCGATATCATTGTTTTGCTAGAAACAAAAAAGAAATCAACTTTGTTGAACAATCTAACTTCACACAACGGTAAGCATAAGATTGTTTGCTATCTAACAATCTTTGACTGAATGAAGTTGAGACTCTTAACAAAAGATTCTTCTTTATGCTTTTGTTCCAAATGATCAACATTGAAGACATTCATTAAGTCAAACTTCTCTAACGGAAGATGATCACGCTTTTTTGTTAAATTAGTGTCAGCTCTTTTCGTTGCTATAAAATATTTCATTAATAAAATTAGTTTAAATATTCTTAATTTCATCATATTTTCTGAAACGAAATTTTTGTATTTATTGAAAACCTTTCTTATAGAAGGCAAACAACCGCTTCCGGTTTTTTCCCATTCCTCGAAAAAAAACACCATCAAGGAGATTTCAAACTAAATATTGAATTAACAAAGTATCTGACTATGAAAAGAAGATGAGAAGGAAAGAGGATGGAAAAGAGTGTTGCGATAAAAAGTAAATTTCCGCATAACTTCTGGTTCGGAGCTTCATCTAACGTTCATTCGTTCGTTGTTTGCTTCTTGAGAATTCTGCTATTCGTTCTTCGCGTGTCATTAAGGGATATAATAATCAGGAAACAGAATGCGGATGTATAATTTATGAAGAGGCTTGAGAACGAAATTACGAAATTACCTTTTTTTTCGCTATCCTTAACCCAACGTTGAAGGAAATTTAGATAGCAACATCCCCACCCCCACTCTTGAGACCAAACGAATCTCCGTTTCAAAACCGAGCTTCGCACTTGCTCTCAATCTTACAAAAAGATTGAGAAAGCAGCAGGAGAATGATTCCGTCAGGCAATGAGCTTTGAAATTATACATGAGATAGTAACAGCTTGAAGCGAACAAAATTCTTGTCGGCGAAATTCAACAGCATCAATAAAAAGAAATGAAATGAATCAATAAGTGTAAGAGAGATGCAAGCTTGTTATTAAGTTTTATTGAAACTGACTGGAGGTATGATTACAGAATTAATTATCAGCTATTTGATAATTTCTTACGAGAATGTCAGTTCTTAGATTTAAGAGAAGCGTTCATATTTTCAATCTGATTCTTCAAGATTCTTCTGTTAACATGGCAAGCAACCTTCAAAGTTTGTGCTTTCAGCAATGTTCATCTAGAAAGAACATCGTTTGGAAAGATATAAATCATGTTTTGTATGTTCCAAAAACGTCATTTCAAACTCATAAAACTGGACGTTGTAAGTCTTTAAAGATTGTAGTAATAAATTTTTCTGTTAGATAATAAAAAATTTCTTCAGAAGCTAGAATGAATGTTCTTGTTGACCTTTTCTTCCATCTTAGAGGAGAAAAAGTCTTTAGAAAAGCCAAATTTGTCTCACGCAATGTCATGGTGATAAATTTTCGTTTTGCATAAATTTAACGCACTTTTAGTTAACGACATCCTGGAAACTAAATTGTTAAACGTGTGAATGACTTCAAATTGTCTTAAGCAATTTTACCTGGCGTGGCGAAAGAGAAAGATTATCTTTGACTAGTTTATGCGAAAAGTAAAATTTTGTGAATTCGGAAATGGAAGTAAACAATAAGAAAGAGCATGAGGTAAACAAACTTCCAACTGCACAAGTATTCATGACTGCCTTTCCAAACAATTGTTGTGAATCAACATTCGGAAATGATTTGTTTAGTTAATTTTTCTTTAATCGCAAAGCAATGATAATTGATGTTGAATTGAATTTTTCAGTTGATTATCGAACATTTTTTTTCGTTTTTTTGCAACATTTATTCATACAATGAGCTGATTTGTATTTTCCAATAAACGCAAAGTAAACAAATATTTCAGCTTTAACAAAACACGAAAACCAATTAAATATATTGAATCAGTAAAGAAGAAAACGAATTACGAAGCGATATTTATTTATTTTTTGCATAAAATAAAATTAAAAAAATAAAATCATTGCATGGAAATTTTCCTGAATTTTCAATTTATAATTATTTTGGTATTAAAATTTGTTTAATTATTTGTTATTGCAGCACTTGTTGCATCAACTTTGCCATAAAGTTTTAGCAATTTTCAAATTAAATGCTGCATAAACAAAGTTAATGAGAACGAATGAACATTAATTAATGATTGAAACTAGGTGAATAAACAAGCTTGATGTGTTAATTTGACAGAAATTGGCGGGGGTGGATATAAACAAGACTTACATGTTTAGAAATAGAACCAAGCTTCATGTCACTGTCTGCTTAACTTTATTACCTCACAAACTTCTTTTTTTTATTTCAAAATATTTCGTCTTTGCGTAGGTCGATCAACAGTAAATTATTGATTGAACTTCAAGATGATTGATTCTCAATCAAATGAAAACAAAGGAAGGTTGAAGTAAAATTCCATCAAGAACGTTAATTTATCTCACGTGAAGAAATTTCTATAATAAATATCATGATCTACAACCATTAATTATGCTGTGAAACTTTCAGACGTAATTCAATTAATTTCTTTTTCTGATTACATGAAGTTATTTATTACAAGACTGGATAGAATTTGCTTTGGATTTAAGAAAAGCGATAAAAAATTAGAAGTCAAATTTTTAAATTGAGAAAAATTTAAGTCGAAATTTAAGCTGTTACGAGTTAATTGAAATTAACGCACAATTAGAAATGAACATGACAAGGAACTTTTACAATCAGATATTGATAGATTGGAAGAATGGTGCGACGCTAATGAGTTAGAGTTGAATTCTACAAAATGTTCTACAATTACATTTAACAGAAAAAGGAAGATTGGAATTCGACAATATCAGATTGGTGGAAGAAACATAGATATGGTGCAAGTAATAAAAGATTTGGGAGTGGATATCAACAGCTCCATGAGTTTTTCGGCACATATCAATAGGATAATCTCCAGCGCGATGAGAGTTTTTGGATTCATCAGAAGATTTTCCAGAGACTTCAAAGACAATAATGTTTTGAAAATTTTATATTGTGCACTTGTTAGACCTCATCTAGAATATTGCAACATCATCTGGTCTCCATTTACAGATGATGCCATAAAAAGAGTTGAGATGGTTCAAAGAAAATTTTCCAAACTTGCATGCAAGAGAATGATTCCTCAAAGAGAACTCACATACGATGAAAGATGCAAGTACTTGAATCTAGAAACTTTAGAAAATAGAAGGAAAAACGCTGGTCATTTGTTTCTGGCAGGAATACTTGATGGATCAGTGGAAAGCAGCGAGTTCTTAGCTTCTCTCAACTTCAATACAAACATGTTAAAAGCAAGGAGCGCTCCATTATTCAAATCTGTATCTCAACATAAAACTGACTATGGAAGAAACAACCCATTGGAGAGACTGATACGGGAATTCAAGCAAATTCAACATGAATTCGACTTTCACTTAACGAAAAATAACTTTAAAACAAATCTAGTCAAAAATCGAAATTGATCTAATCAACTGAAAAATTATATTTTTATCAATATGTCTTGTTAAATTTGCCTATGCTTGTCTTGTTGACTGAAAGTTTCCTTTTGTTTGTTTTGAAGAGCTGCGTGATGTATTTTTATTTTTATTGCTGTACAAAATTGACGTTCTTTTGGGCTGACTAGAGCCTGTTGAATAAACTATTATTATTATTAATTGAAAACTGAAATGATTATGAATATTTTGGTACATAATCGCTATTATTTATTAACTAAAAACACTTAAAANTTTGGATGTAAGAAAAGCGATAAAAAATTAGAAGTCAAATTTTTAAATTGAGAAAAATTTAAGTCGAAATTTAAGCTGTTACGAGGTAATTGAAAACTGAAATGATTATGAATATTTTGGTACATAATCGCTATTATTTATTAACTAAAAACACTTAAAAGATTTTCTCGCATGAATTGCTTCGATATAAAATAATCTTACAGAAATTTCCTTATTTTATTTAAACTAACGAAAATGATTAAAAGTTTTCCATCCATTGAACATTTGTTGAGATCACGTTAAAGTTTGATATTTATCTAACAACAAACTTATGCAAAAGCTGGAAACTGTTTATTGAAAACTGAATTCATAATTAACTTCCAAATTTACATTCTTACAAATATTTCCATAAAATAAAATCGTGAGTATTCATTATCTTGTCTACATTCGTTCACTGAATGAGATATGTTTTGATTAACATAAACTTTTTCATATCTCGCTATCAGCTGATATAAAAGAATAATTTATGCAATAACTTTGCTTGCAGGCATCTGTTGCGAAGCCTACGAAATTAATATTCCGAGTCAATACGAGGCGAGAAGCAAAGAAAACAATACGTAGCCTAAATCAACATTAATTTGGGAATTATTCGAGATGAGATTTTAATCTTAAACTCAGAAAATTGAAAAGATTGTAAGGACAAGGATGAGAAGAAGTCTCGGCTTTATTAGGATATTGAAGCTCAAGCATCTTCTAAGGGATTTAAAGGATTTCCAGATTTATCGGATTCAGTCTCTGGAGAATGAAACTTTATTAAATGTCGTATAATTTGAGAAGGCTCGTGGATAATGCAGATGATGGCTTCGATCTAACATCATTTGTTGCTTTTCATGTGAATGTCAAAATCAAATTCTTAATAATCATAAACTTTGAATTGCTTTCCACTAGAGATTATCCCTGAACCGAAAGAAAGTCTACATCTTTGCCACTTAATTTTTAAAGTCAGAAAAAAGAATCAAATTTCAGAAAATCTATCCAAGAAATCAATGCAGAGTGTGAACATTTTTTCTTTCAGATTCTCTTCAAATCCCATAAAGATAAAGATACCGAGAAAAATGAAATTTATGAGCTTCATTTTAATTTCTTTAAAGTTGGAAGAGATTCACAAGTGAATAATATGAGATAAAGCTTCATCTCAGATCGGAACGAAAGAAAGAGTAAAACATGTGATGGCATTGAATTTATCATAAAGTCCCGTAAGATATTTTCATCAACACGATGAAAAGTTATTTTCTTTTTGAAAAGCAAACAAATCTTTTTCAAGAAGATAAAACATAAAATTTTATATTCTTCAAGTACACAATTTTCATTTTCCTGTTCCAACTAGTTTTCATTATGAGACGATTTCCATTCTTCTAATGTCGACAGAATTCTTGTTTGGATTTCATTAAAAATAGAAACTCTTGAAAGATTATAAACAAAACCAGCTGCATAGTGCGTCATGAAACATTGAACAAATTAAGATGTAGAATAAGAGGAAGAAAAAGTAGAAAATTTTTGGTTATCAGTTGAAGAATTTACCCAACAAATGCCAACAAGACAACACAAAATAAAGTTTCTATTTTACTTTGGACAGAAGAAGAAGATGAACTAAAAGTTTTACGGAGGCCCCACCCTAGGGTGACGGGCAACCGTATTGGATTTGCCCAAAAATTTCAAAAAATTTTCTTTGCTTAATTACACTTAAAATGGGTTGAAACGTCGAGAAAAGTGGAAAAAAACGAAAAAAAAATTTCTGTCCGCTTTCGGGTCTGTGGGGATGGATGGATGTAGACACTCGCATTTCTACATTTCTTAACCGATTTGAAAAATTTCTTCACCAATGTGTTTTAAATACGAATAGAAAGTTTCTATCAAATTATGGGGTTCGTACCTTCAGTATTTCAGGTACCTGCCATACAAAGTTGCCCTTTTCCTAGCGAAAAAAAAAAAACATTGCTAGCGAAAAAAAAAAAACATTGCTAGCGAAAAAAAAAAAACATTCCCAGCGAAAAAAAAAAAACATGCCAGCGAAAAAAAAAAAACATTGTGAAGAAAAAAGTCTGTTACCGAAAGTCGGCCCCAACAATAAATATCGTGCAAAAGCCCGATATTTAAAACTCCGGCAGTTATAGAATTTCTAGACGAACAGTATTAGTAAAAATCTAACTCCAATAAGGGGCCACTTTGTGTAAAAAGTTTCTGGAATATCGAAGGTGGAAACATTATACAAAGTGGCNAATAAGAGGAAGAAAAAGTAGAAAATTTTTGGTTATCAGTTGAAGAATTTACCCAACAAATGCCAACAAGACAACACAAAATAAAGTTTCTATTTTACTTTGGACAGAAGAAGAAGATGAACCAAAAGTTTTTATTGAAAAATTAACGATAACAAAATTTACTTTGCTGTCAAGATTTTCTTTTCATTTTCCGATCACAGCAGTTGTTTGACTTTTTGCTTTTGAAATATTTTAAACAAACCCATCTTGGGAGTATTTTATTGTTTTTTATTTCTACCCGAAGTGCGGAAGAAAGGTCAATTCATGCCTTGAAGCTTTGCTTTTCGAGCAAACATTGAGAAGAATATTGTAAAGATTCGAATTTTATGTCTCCATCAGAATCTTTTATTTTCGAGATTGCCGAGTCATAGTAAAAAGGGATCCTAAAACGACACTCCAATAGGCTTAAAGGGTTCAAAGTTACACAACAATTTCGCTTCCTTCCTCAATAAATTACCACTTTTTCTGTTATCAGCAACGTAACATACACATTTCCTTTTATCTCCATTGAGTTGTAAACATTTTTCGAACCATATTCAGTTGAATAAACAACGAGGAGTTACTAAGTTGTTACTTTCATAATGTAACATGACAAGTCTAAGCTTGATTTTTAAATTCAAAAGAATTAGAATCTAATGCTTGCAATTCAAGATCATCATAAGAAATAACGATTCACGATACAAAAGAAGAAGTTTCGATTCTACTTAAGTATTCTGAACTTCTTATGAGCATGAAAATGATTTGTGAAATGTGATAAGCTTAAAGGTACGCGAGACATTTTAAATTTATGTGCTTTTAAATTTCTTCTATTCACATGGAAATTAGATGCTAAATATGTTGGGCTTTTATTTCTCGAGAAATCTTTTATGAGAAGAATGGAAATAAAATTCTTATGCTCTTATGTTAAGAAACAAATAAAGATTAACATTTCAATTTGCATTCATAAAATCAAATTTTTAATGGTAATGTTGCTGAATATGTAAGTGCTATCATAAATAATTTTAATATACAGCAATAATTAGCGTTAGCAATTTAAAGTTAAGGAAATAGAATTGGAAATTGAATTAATTAAAGAGATTAGGAGAATGTTGGGCGTTGTTTGCGAAATTAAACCAAACATTTGCCTTTAATCCTGCGTGATTATCTACAACTAAAATTGTTTACCCGGCGGTTGTTGACTCTTATTAGAACACAAATAAGCTGCAATTTGTATCGCTTTGAAGATGAACTTAAACGAATCTTTTAATTTCTTAATAAAGAAGATTGGTAAACTTTCGAAAATTATCACTTTTGTTTTAGTATTTTAAAGCTTTGAACAATCGCTTTAAGCGACTTGATGCAAACAATTTTGTTATGCATTTTGCAGTCTGAGAATGCCAAAGTAATTTCAACTCGTTTATTTCATGCTTATGCTAAAAGTTGGCATTTCTGGCACGTTTAGTAAATATGAATATAAAGTTGTTGACACTCTTCATATTCACGACATCATTTTGTTTTCTTTCTTTCAGAATAAATTCTATTTGCAAGATTTTTCATTAAAATATTTATCATATTTATTCACTGAATTATGCAAAACATTTTTTTACTTTTACTTTGTTTGAAATTTAAAATTTAAGTGCATAAATGCAGCAAAAGCGAAAACTTTCATTTCATTAAAGAAATTCATATAAAAGACGTGATTTCTTACTCTGCTGAACATGCTTAATTGCCAACTGACTGTTAAATTTGTCAAAGTCATCAAATGACATTGTAAACCGTCGTAATAGTTTGTTTATAGTTGCAAAACTTACATCAACCTTTCCATTTATTTCACTATTATTTTTCTTTTGCTGATCGTTGCTAAATGAAATTGTTAAAGAAATGATTAAGAAAGACATGACAACAGCTTCGAACGCAACAAACAGACATTAAAAAACATCACGAAAAGGACACAATTTTTTTTGTTAAAATGACATTTTCATTATCTCTGCCATCTATCTAAATGTGAATAACTTCATGCTAGTTTATGATTGCCCTCAACATCTGTAATCCACACCCACAAGCAAGAAAAAGGTTCCAAGTTGGTCTTCTTGTTGGGTCCATTTTGGTAATGGCTACCAACAAGTTCTTCGCTTTAAAAATCTTCCATAAACATCAAAAAGGACGATAATAGCCTTTCCTTCCAATTGTTTATCTCTACTGTAAGTGCCGACAATGAAATGAACGTGATGAACAACTCTTCATCATTGTTACATGAATGCTTTTAAGGAACTATTTCATTTCCTAAAACTTCCTATAAATTGTCATAAACTGCGGGGGCAGTTGGAAGAATTAAACACAATAAAGACAATTTCATTTGAATCTTCTGGATGGAAGACCAGGAAAACTTTTTTATTTTGTGGATAAAAAGAATTGAAACAGAACAAAAAAAGACCCACCAGTCAGTCATCATAAAAAAGGTCATTTTTTGTCGTTCCCTTAAAGGGATTTGCTTTTCATTCCACCTCCCGACGCTTCATACAATGATCATCATAATTTTATTTAATGTCTGACGGGTTTTTCATTGTACGCTTGGAATTCTTTCTTTTTATGGATGTCCAACGAAATGGAATAGAAGGAAAAAAATCTATTTAGATCCCGAACTTGAAACATGAAATGATCTTGTTATAAGAAGCATCAAAGTAAATGTCTAGACGCTTCATCAGAAATTTATATGCACTGTTAAACATGCAAAATTCTAATTAACAAATATAATAGAAGAATTATTTTTGTGTTGGAATTTTAAAGATTTCTGTTGATGGAGAGAAATCACTGTAATGAACTTGACTGATGGGCTTGTTGCTTAAGTCACTAATTCTCGAAAACTCGTATCTTCATCTTAAAATTCATCTTTTCTTGAAACATTGGATTAAGATTGATTAGAAAAGCCCAACATCCCTATCATGTGATCCAATTTCATTATAATGTCTTTCACATTTGTTCTTTTTCATTTTGTTGTTCAGACTTGTTTTCAACATCATCTGGCATATGTGTGGCAGTGTATTAAATTTTCGATATTTAATGGATGAGAGATTAGTTTATCAGTCGTCGCCTTAAACTTTCTTTCGCCTTGAACCATGTGAGATACGGAAGAAAAAGTAAAGAAAACTTTTCTATCTGAACACATTTCATTGATTTGCCAAAGAGAAGCACCTGCAGTCAGACAAAGACAGCTGGCAGCACACGAGAATCTTTTTAAATTCAGTTGATGCTAATTATAATATGAAGAAATTCAGCTGCCGTTCTGACATTACTTACAAGAGAATGAATCAGAAAAAGAAGAATAATATATTTGAAAATTATGCAAGAAAAGACGAGATCGGTTTCGATGGTGAATTTGAGTTAATTAAAGATGGAAATGAAATAAACTTTTGGGATTTTCTTTCTTTCTTTTCAAATTGTATATTCAACCCTTTGAAAAATTGTCTTTCATCTTCAGAATGACTAATAATCTCATAAATTGTTTTGGGCTCGTTACCATTAAACTTAGTCACTTTAAGCTTTTAACCCACCCACGCAACAGAGAAAATGATCGATTATTTTAGTCTTTGTGTTACTTTCTCTCACTTAGCTTACTCAGACATAGAAGTTTACTTCAAATGCCTTTGTAATTTGTATCAATGAGTGAAGAAAATAAAAAGGAAATTGAATTTAAGAGTTTGTCGCGTTCTACGATGAGTCGTTGAAAATATTACTGGAATTATGTCAACAAAACGTTAAATTTTGTCATTGAACATTGATTAATGAAGAACTTAAGAATTCGTCATGATTTTTAGCTTATAATTAATCGAGAATGCTGTTTAATTTTACTTTCAACGCAACATGCTTTATCATAAATCTTTATTTACATCGATCGAATATCTCAACAGCGTCAACAGTCAAGAAATGAAATTTCAAGTCGGATAAGAAAATCTCCAAGCGTATTCAGCAGTTAAACATCATCACTACGTCTCACTCATAACTTCTTTTCATTTTCTCTATTTTGCTACAAGGCGACTTATCATCACAATATTGAAACATTTTCAAGGATAATCGATTTTTTCTCCAGACTCAAATGAAAGCGAGAGAGAGACGGAAAGAAAGAAATATGAATAATTCATTGCTAAAATTCTGTAACATTAGTTGAAGTTGAACAAGAAAAATAAAATTCTGTCCCGGAGTAATCGTACCCGAAATTGAAGTTAATATCCTCGTGGAGTTTCAAAATGCTGATGGGAATTGACGATGCCATTTGTGTTCTTCTCTTTCTACGTCTTCTTCTTTATATTTTTATTTTATTTTTTCAACACTCAGTTGAAGAAGAAAGGAAAATTGAACTAATAGTAATTCCAAAGGATGAAGAAGAATGAGAGAAGAGAAGACACGCAGCCCCCAAAAACATGAAGTGAAACCAAACCAACATTCGAATGAAACTTGAGAGAATTGAAGAGAGAAGAACAACTCACATTTCCGTGGAATCATTTAAGTGCCAGCTGTGCCTGTTATCCATCTTGACGGCATTTCGATTGTCAGTTGTATTTGCACTCCTGAAGTTACTTGAAATTCCCGCACGATGCATAAAGCCGATGTTGTACCATTTTCTGGATTTTTCAATTGAAGAATTTTCTTGATGCTTAGAAATGGACACTTTTTTCAGGATCTTTTCGTTATTCGATTGCGGCTCACACTCAATATTATTATTCGTATTTTCGATTTCCGATTTTTCATTAGAATTTATGGTTTCACATTCATCAGTTACTGCTGGTGCCGCCTTATCTGTTTCATCAGACCCAGCAGAACTCTTAAGAACATTATTCGATTGACTAACTTCTTCACCCATTTTTAATAAATCTTGACTCTCTTTTGTGGTATTATTTATATCTTTCTATCTTTTAGATGCTTTACGTCTTCGTCTATCGACCCTCACACTCACACAACATCTTTCAAAAGAAATCCGAAATATTCTTTACTTATTATTTTTTCACTTTGAATATTCTTCAAGTTTTCTTCTTTTCAAATCTCTTTAGACTTTGTTGATAATCTAACAGTTTAGTCTTTTGCTGTTTCATGTAATTTTAATTCTTCTTTTTATTCATTCAGCAAAACAAACAAAAAATAGCTAAAAAACCTAACAATTTGATGCGGAATTGGAATCTTTTGTTGAGGGTCTCAACTTTATTTTTTGTGTCTAACAAACTTTTCGAATTGATTTAAATTTCATTTACTGCTTCAGACAACTCCGACACTGATATTTGATATATTTTTTTTGCACAGCGAAATCTGATCGTTTTACCGCGATATTGACCCGATCACAATTGAAATCAATTTTCATTTGCGTTTATTGTAAACAAATATTTGAAAATAATTTACATGAACACGGGAGATACAATGCTTATGCGTCGAAGGTTCAATTAAAACTCAAGCAGCCGTTTGTTTTTGATCGCTCTCTTGGTCTCCCTCTTACTCTCGTTCATGTTGAATCGATGACGTCACGAGAGCAAAGTTTTCTTGGATTTTTCGATTTCTTAACTCAAAACACTAATGGATTTCTAAAGAAGGTAATGTATCGCATTGGTAAATGAGAAATTATTGAGAATCCATCATTTTCAGTATTTCAGTCATTCAAAGAAATAAAATCTATCAAGAGAATCAAGTTTGAGGAGAGATAGAAGGAGACAGAAGATATGCACACGATCAATGACGTCATACAAATCCGATCGGTTCAAAAAATTCAAATTTTAAAACACCGTTAAAAATTCATCTTTTAAAAACAAAAGATTTTATGACAGGAAGTTTTATATAAAGTTTCAACATTGTAACTTGTTTTTATTTTATATACCTAATATTTCATACCTGAATGAAAAAAGATTAATGATGAAAAAAGAAAATAATTTTGTGGTCACGTTCGAAGGTGGAACCAAAAGTAGGAGTAACAAATCAAACAGGTAGAAAAAGAAATTAATTACCAGAATATGTTTTGAACTCGACAGAATTTTCTTTGCTGTTAAGATTGGCTTCATTCTCAGAATAATTTAGTAGCTTTAAGGTGTTAGATTTGCTACTGGTCATTTTCTCTTCAGGAAATGAATTTCAATTAAGCAAAAATTATGTGACATTTTTATGAGATGAAAAAGCATAAATTGCCTGTGGAGCTAAGTCAAATATGTTAGAAACTCACCGAGACCGCATAAATGATTTAGGAAGAGATCGACTCTGGAGACGTGTAAAATGTCGACGTTTTACTGATGTTGATGTTGGAATAAAGAACTTTCCTTTGTTGTAGTTTTGGGCTCTGAAAACACAAAAAAGATGCGGTATAAATTTAAATTTTCTCTAACCTTTCAAAAAATGTTCCTAAGCTTATAAAAGTCAAAATTGCTTCAAGATATCAAAAGCTTTTAAACAGAGGAACCATCATCAACATGTTACAATTATTTTATCTTCCTCTTTAAATATTGTTCAGTTACTAACGTGGGATAAACAGACAGAGTGACTTAACAAGAGGAAAGTTTTCTTGAACATTTTCCGCTTAGCTAACATCACACAGATCTTTATGTCGGAAATAAAAAGTTAAATTACATTTTGAGAAATATTCTTCGCATCACGCAAGTTTTCTTTTCCTCCTTTTTTAAAGGTCTTTTTTCAAACCAATGAATTTCTTCAAAAGTTTACTCTTCAACCGGTAAAAATTCACGTAAATTCCATGGGACAAAAAATGTTGTCAGTTTGCAATAGAAAATCCCTACAAATAAATTTTGTCACGGGCCTTATTGTTCGTTAAAATGTTAAGCTTTTAAGGGAAGGGTTCGCTGAAGCTAAATAAACATTTTTCAAATTCTTTTTTATTTTTTAAAGGAAGTTCTAAGTTCATGATGAAGAAAATATCTAAACTCGCATTTGAATATTTTGTTTCAAGGAATAAAATTCCTATGTTTGGTATTTTAAATCTCACATGAAATTCAGACCGCTTGTGAATGTTTTCTTTAGGGATAGAATCGAGGATTGAATTAAGTTTTCATTTCCTGTTGATCAGTGAATGGAAAATACCTGCTTTAGCTTTTGTTTGTTGACGTTAGGAAAACGTTATCAACTTTACTACATGCTTACGATAGCAAAGAAAACGAAAATAGATTGAAAGACTCTCTGGACAGTCTCGAGAAGTTTGCACATTTCTAGATGGAAAATGTTTTTATTTTCCACTCCAACAAGAAAAAGGAAAGAGACGAATATTATGAAAGAACCTTTATTAAAAGTTCAGAATAAATTATTAATATGAATCTCGTAATTAAGTTTTTAAGGTAACTAGGCTAATATGACTATGAAAAGTTTGTCATATGTTCCTAATAGATAACAAAAGCTTTCAACCCAAATGTTTTTATTTCTGGTCTATTTTTACAACTTTTCTAAACACTAAACCGTGAGAGATTTCATCCGAATCCTCAGTCTCTTAACGCAAATATTGATTTTCTTCAAGGCACAAGACCGAACCTACGAGTTTTATTTTACGTTGCAAGAGTTTAAGACTTGATGTGTGGTTAAGATTTCGTGTGGAGACGCAATAAAAATCCTCGAGAGTGTTTCCAATCTACAGAAGTATTACGACTTAATTAATCTTTTTTGTAAATCAACTCTTGTTTGAATGCCTTGAAGAAATCGTGAAAGTCTTAAGTAAATTGACTTTTATTGTACCAGTAACAGAAAAATTCTTAAGCTCCATGAACTACCCACGACATTCAGTCAAAGAAAGACTGATGAATGAAAATATCGAAGCTAAGAAGATTCTAAAAGTTTAGTAATTTAATTATGAAAATCTTTTCAAATCTTCTCAGTCTTTCGAGAGCTTTCAAATTTCACAATAACAAAGAAAATATAAAAAAATCTTAAGAACTTTATGCTCTTATTTCATTGTTGCACAAAAAAACTTTATTTTCTCTTGACTTTTATATTTTTGGGAGACAAAATAAGAAGCAACGAAACCCTAAATTTCAATCTGTAACGTAAGCTTTTGAATGTAAAGAAAAGAAAGGCTCAATAAAAAGTAGAAATCAATGCCAATGCAATGTCATTAAATTTTATTCCACAGAAAACGACATCAATAAATTTAATTTACGTCGCAAGCCATTTAAGGCTTGCAAAAGAGAAGAATCAGAAAATATCCTCAAAGTTTTGAAGAAAGAATGTGTTGATGAAAAGAAAATCTTATTAGAAATCAATTCCATAAGTAAAAAAAGAGAATTGAGCATAAATAAGCAAATACAAACATTCAAATACAATTGGAAGGAATTAATTTGATTCGAAAAGTAAAACGAAACGTCCGTAGGAAAACTTTTATGGTCTCGTTTATTAACCTACCGTATTTGCTGACTCGAAGAGGCAAATTGCTGCTTCAACTCTCCATTCGGTCGGCTCGTGATGTGAATCTTCTGCGTGTTATTATCCTTGCTTTTGGTATCACATATTTTATTGGCACTTGAATCACTTCCACTATTCTTTCGTGTCGCACTTTTTGTGATTGGCATTTCGCAATCACCCAAAAATATTATCGAACTGTTATTAGGCTTTCTCACGTGCTTGAAAGTCGATGGCGAACTTCCGCCATTAACTGTCACGGTTGTTCCACGATAAGCCTGTTGCTTTTGCCTTTGCGTATTGACATTGATTTTCATCAAATTTTTACCACTCGAATCACTATCATTGTGCACTTTGACTTTACATTGCGTACCATTGATGAAGATTTTATCTTCAACTGGTGGATATTTGACAGAACTTAAACCACTTTGTGGCCAATATTCGCAGCTACTCGATGTACAACTGTAATTGTAACGAAAATATTAAATTTTTGTGTAGTGTCATGTGCGCAACTCTTTTATGTGCGTGAAAGCTAAATGTATGAAGAGCATGTTTAAGTCAACATTCTTACATTTCTAATAGAAAAATAATTTAAGTTTTTTATGTTTTATGTTCAAAAATTAATTATCATTAGTTTTTTTCAAACAGCTTTTAAGGATGACAGATGAAAGGGCACTGAATGCTGGAAAATAAACGTTGCCACTCTCTCAATGTAGTAGTTAGTTGTGTTATTAAGTTTAGGTACTTTGATTTCTTTTTTTAAGTCGGCTAACCTACGAAATTCATTTGCATTTGTCATTTTCTACATTTCACAAAAATAATTATCATTTGTAAGTTTTTTTAATTAGATTTTGTTTTGTGCTACAAGAGACTAGAAAGTGTTCAGTTCTATGTTTCAATACCTTCCGGAAGACGAGCCCGTTCCACTAAGATTACTCGAACGATTTGCTTGTTGCTTTCGTTTAAGACCAAACAAATATTCAGCAACAAGACTTTTGTCTTTCAACACTTTGTTTGCACTCTCATTGATGCTATCATCGGAATCAGATGGTGAACGATTTGGCGAGCGATTTGGGGTTAAAGATGTGCGTGGTTTAAGAAAACTATTAGTTGGTGGCTTCTTATAATTATCTCGTTCTCTATCACGACCTCTACGATTACTAATGGGCGATCTTTCACGTGACAATGGAGGATTGACTGCCATTCGACTGCTGAAGTTCATTATTGGTGATCTAGTGGCAGCTCGTCTTGTATTCACATCGTAAAGAATGTCATGGTCATACAAGCGACTACCATAATTTCTCGGACTACTTCGCAACGATTTTGTTGCTGTTGGTGGCACCATCAACACTCGATCTTGACTAAACGCTCGATTTCCACTGAAAACATTTCGAGTGCCGCCTCGAGAGATTTTCGTATTTAATGCTAAATCATCATCAAAAGATTTACTTTTGCTATCCGATTCATAATCATAATCAATATTCGATTTGTTATTGAAATCCAGCATTTCGTATGACTTTGTCTGTGTGCTGGTTGGCAGTGAATTATCACTGTTACGTAAATTCTGAGAGTTATATTTGGAAGGCATACTAAGTGTCGTTTTGCTTCGTATATGGACATAGTCGGGTTTTTCTCGATGCTTTGGCGTTGTTGTCGTCGTCGCTGTTGTTTGTAATGCTGGCGTGTTTCCAATACGAACAACAAGCTTTTGAAGCTGCGAACGATTCGGTGAACGTTCTGAGAGTTGTAATGATCTAAACAAAACAATCAAGGTCATTACATCAATGTTATAATTAAAAAAAATTATGAATAATATTACCTCGAACGTCTAATTTTATAATCACCGAAGGTTGTTTTGAAAGGTGGACGATGAGTTGTTCGACGACCGCTGCCACCTTCACTTGAACTCGACGAGCTTCTCGACAATCTTCCTTCTTCATATCTTTTCAGTTGTCGTTCCAATGTACTGTTGCGTGAACCCGAACTCTGTCGAGACATCAAAGATGTTTGAGACGTTGTTAATTTTGATGATTTATGTAAAAATTCGGGTGTAATTGGACGTTGCTTCTTCATGTTCATACGATTGACAGTCAGTAAATCGTAATCATCAAAGCTCGTTTCAGGCGTCATTGAACGCGTTTTCATAAACTGCGATTGTTGTTGATTTAATGTTTGTTGTTGATTTAACAATGTTTTCGTAATGTTTCGAGTGTTTTTCATGGGCTCGAGATACGATGATGCTGTAGCAGCTGACTTATAACTTAAAGCTAATGACGATGACGCTTCTTCATCGTCATCGTTTTGATCTTCGTCTAAGTCGTCATTAGAGAAATCTGTTGAATGAAATGAAATAATTTTGAAGATTAACCTCATGACTTGAAAGAGTTGACGATTGCATTTGAAACATTGAAAAACTTTAACATTCATCAAGTTCCAAGTACAATTTGTAACAAATGGAGAATTAATTGCACTTACCCGATCTGGCACCAGAATCACAAGAATTCAATCGATTATTAATTGACGATGTGTTCGATTCTAAACTTCGATAATTATTTGTCATTCCGCCGGGTCTTGTAAATTGAGTGCGACGGGAAATGCCTTCATCAACCGACTGATAAGTTGAATTGTAGTAATTTGGATTTCCCATTTTAACTTTATTACCCGGAATGACTTTTGGAAATATCGATGTCAATGATGTCGATGGTGAATTGTCAGCTGAAGGTTTCTTCGTCAGATAATTCGGCGAAACTCCAGTGAGACTCGCAAACGTTGTAGACTTTCCATAACGAGACAAAAAGTTTTTATTCATTCCACTCTTTTCATTTAATTGGAAATCGAAATCGAAGCTACGTGAGAAGTTTTCATTAAACTCTGCTGTCTTTCTGTTGTCATATTCAAAGCTACGTGAGAAGACCATTCCCTTTCCAACATTTGCTGTTGATGTTTTATTGTCGCTGTCGGTTACAGAAAGCTGAATTTGTGTTCCGTTTTTCATCTGAATAATTCTGTTCCGTATCTTGTGGTCTTGAAAGGCTGGTGGAGGAGAAAGAATAGGTGTGGGTGGTGGACCATTATGAGAGAGATTTGACTTGACAGGCAGAAATCCAGGACGGTCATTAGCAATTTGCCGTGGTTCCGTCTTCGGATCGATTTTTAAAATGGTAACATTCTCATCTTTGGGATTTGTAAGTGGTTGAGTTGATTTTCGTGCTTCGTTGCGCGATATCAATTCTTCAATCTTTGAATTGACAGCCTTCAACTTCTTAATATTTTCCTTTCTCGATTCAGAACCCTTCTCGGATCTCTGATCAGGATTTGTTTGCAACCATCCTGAGCGGTTTAAAAATATTCCATCCTTCGATTTGTTCGTTATTGTTGTATTCTCACCGAAGAAATATGACGGCGGTTTCTTTTCAAGACTCGAGTTCCGGTAATGCATCTTCTTAAAATACTCTTTGTCTGTTAATTGTTTCCACTTTGCTTGAATCTTCGAGCTTGTACTCGTTGGTAGACTATCCTTTGATAAGCTTTTTCCTTTGTTCAGTTGCTTTCTTCTCGTCGGTATATCAGGCAATGGAATTTTGCTGAAGTCGAGCTGATCGGGACAATCATTTGAATGCTTCAGTGAGTCCTTTGACTTGTTCTTATCAGAGTTTTGAGCATTATTCTCGTTTGCTTTTCTTCCTTGATTTTCTCTGAGAATGAAATATTGAATAAGAATGGAAAATGTTAGATTTTAACTTTAAATAAATTTTTGTAATATGCTAACAACAAAAAGCTTTCATCGTTCACTTCATCTCTTGCAAGTTTTTTATTGTTTTTTATTTTTCCACTGGCTGATTTTCATTGTTCAACATCATATGCCATAACGTAAGTGGCTGTTCGTATTTCCATTATATATAATCGATTATTTCCACATTGAACAGTCTGGTCTGCTTAAATATTTATTCAAAAGTATTCATCTTTTGTTACAGCAAGTTTTATGGCACATTTTGTTTTATCAGATGCCTGGAGAAGTCTTTTATGTACTCCTTAAGACATCCTTCAATAACATTAAATAAATATTTTCTCTCAATAGCAAATCATTTTGATTGAAATAATACAAAATTCATGATGAAAGGCAATTTAAATTTTTGCTCAACTTTTTATTCAATTTATTTTTTAAAAAGATTTTGAATGTTTGCAAAAGTTGAGTTGAGATGACCAAGCTTTTAAATTCAGAGTCACTTTGTAATTAAAGTTTTAATTAAAATTCGCAGCTTCAAAGACTTCGTGATTCTTGATTTGAACCTCGTGCCATCTTCGCTTTGAATACATTAGTTAACATTTCCATAATTTCCATCGTTGTAGCTACAAAAATCTTTGTGTTTAATTCAGTTGGCATCGTGGCGATTTGAGATCTTAATGAGTCTTCTGCCATTTACAGAAGCGATGGTTATAAATGGTTAAACCGGGATGAAAAAAATTACGCGATACGAATAGCGACTTAACTAAAGTAAATTGAATTTGATTTTGAATGAGTGGCACGACATTGACGAGACGTTTTCAACTTTCATGTATCAAATAATGAAGATTGAAGCCGCTCCACTTCATCAGGTGTAACTTAAGTTGCTTCATTTATCATCTTTAATGAAAAATTTTAGTTTTATACGATTGCATAATTTCCTTTTCAAAAATAATACAAAAGAAAGAATAAAATAAAAGTTACGAATGTTTTATGTTGGTTTTTGTGGATATTTTAATGAAGTTGAAAAGTTTATTATCTTTTAAAAATCCCAAGTAACCGTCATATCCACACGATATTGGCCACAAGACTTGATTACTCTCTGTCCATTACTTAGGGTTGGTCTTGATACATTTCAGTTGCTTTGATCCATTATTGCTTTGCCTTAGATTCTTATACCAATTAATGATTCTCGAAGGAATAAGGAAGCAAAATTAATTTAATTTTCAGGGTTTCCAACTTCTCCTTAATTGCTTTTTAACTGTTTTGTCCATTAATCATATAAAATTTAATTAGATCTCATAGGCATCGTAATGTCACATTCGCAACAACCGCAGTTTATGAGAGCAGAATGTGTTTGTGAGATTTTTGTGACTTTATGTTGATAGCTTTTTTGTGTGTACGTAATTTCTCCCACAAGCTTTCAAAACAAATGGTTGCAAGTCTCAGTTTTACTTACATGCGGTACATTGAATTTACGACAATGTCACTTACTCGCATGTTAATCGAAATTATTGAATTTACAGCTTCTTGGCTAGAGCTCTGCAAATGCGTTGTTGTCGTGTGTTTCGTTTTATGTAATGTTCGAATTCTGATTTAACGTTTCCCAAGACTCGCTTCTAATTTACGAGCTATATCGCCATCGTAAATGCGAGAACCAAACCGCAAGAAAATGTTCTTCTGATGATGAAATGTTTATGTGCTTATATGCGAATGTCAAATGTGAAGAGTGCGATCAAGTTTGCCAAATTGTAAGTATGTAGTACTCTAATGCTTCTGACACATGACACTAATTAATAGAAAGATGAAAAATATTTCATATCGCATATTAATTTTCCTGTCTGCATTTCATCGATAATCAACAACAAAATAATACAAATTTATTTTCAGATACTTTCGGTAGACATTTTAGCAACAACAACACAATGTGGACAATTTTTAGATTCTAAAAAAATTCTCCGACAGTCCAAACTTATCGCAAATGTTTATTGACATTTATGTTACATTTCTCCAGTACCCAAAAAAAAACAATTTCAGAAACAATCATGTCAAAGTTTATGAACCGAAAGTTCAATCGAAACATGAAACTTTTATTGCTTTTTTCCTTAAATTCAATTTTGAATTTCATGTTCCGGTGATTATCGGATGATTAATTTTAATGCGAGAGAAAATTTCTTTCAGAGATAAAGTTTTTTATGAAACTTTAATAGCAAATAGAATACTTTCAAATTCCTTGAATGGGATATCTAAGTTTACGATTTAATACATGAAGCATACACGCACTTACGTTAGACATAAACTTGAATTATTCAACCTTTTCGAGATTCCTTATTAAGGATATTTCTTGATTCAACCTTTTTTACCTTCCTTACATTCAAACGCCCACCCAATTAGTAGCAGTTTCACAATTTTAAAACAAAGGTATAAGTCACAACAAGCAGAGAAGTTAGTTAATGTATTTAAATATCTTTAATGACTTTTCAATTAGTTTCAAGATTTTGTCAAGCTCAATGACATTAAGATCAAAATAAAGTTCAACAAGCTTAAATTTAAAGCTCATGATTGCTATTGAATTCCCAAAGTCGAAATTCATTAAACTGGAGTGAGAGATCAGCAGTCTTGATAAATCAACAATTTCAACAATAACAAGAGATGATATTCGGTGTCAACGAGGAGCTTTTTGAATCGAGAAAATTTTAATTAAGCTGAGTTGCTAGGAAATGATGAAAATATTTTCAAATTCTCATTTTCCTCTAACGATATTTTCATTATTTTCCTCTTTATATCTACGTTTTAAGAAAAATTTTCCATTATAACCCCACGTGTCAGATGAGAGAAAAGAAATTAATTAAATGCTTTATGGGCGAGAATTTATTCGGAGCATTAAATTTTAATGAGATAAATTTCTGTTGCCTTTGAAATCAGTGAGCTTGAAACATAAAAAAAGAATTTTTTCTTGTTTTGTAGCATGAAATTCTCTTTCTTAAAGTTAATCTTCTGAACAGCCTTTGCAACTTTCTTACTAGCACTGACACGGACTCGACCAAACACAATTAATGTCAGAAGATCTATTACAATTGCTACTTAAACCAGTTTTGAGAATCTGCAAAGCAAGAAATGACAAGTGAAAAGAACAAGTTGGATTCACATATGGATTTCAGGGTCAGATTGTCGCAGTTAAAAGAAAGATTTAAAAGCGTTTTGCACGAATATGTTTAATTGAGATCTTAGAAAAGCTAAGCTTAGCAGTTTGACATGCAAATGTCAATAAATATCTGAGTTTCTATTGATCTGGTCGTTCGTTAGTAAGCTAACAGTTATTCAAGTCTTTCTATGTCAGCTTCGATTTGACAAATTGAAATAAGACACCAAACAGCCTTGTGACCGCCTTTTGCGGAATGTTCAATGTTTTCCAATTTGTTTTTTAAACCTTCGCTTTTCGTCCCTCGGTTATCATGACAAATTACGTCATAAAATTCTCCCTTTCATTAAAAAAATAAACACTTCAACTTAGACGACAACGACATTGCTTCAAGCTTTTTTCTTTATCTTATTTTTCTTCTTCGATATTAGCACACCGGGAATAATTTAAATCTCATTAGAAAGTTAATGAAATAAAAATCATGTCTCGTTGATAATTGGAATTAACTTTTTGTTTGCGCTTATAAAAAGAAGATTCTTTAAGCGTGATAAATCAAACCTCCGCTAATTTCTTAAATTAAAATCGGTGCTTTATGCTTTTGCTTTATGGACGAAGAATTCATTCAAGCTAAGTAATGGAATTGTTGGAGGAAGTTTTCGTAATAAATTAAAGTTAATGTTCTATTGATGTTATCAAAACTTTGACTTTTAAATGTCATTGCTTTGAAATTTAATTTTTTGTTATGTAAAAATCTTTCCTTCGTGACACTTTTTGAGAAACTTTTCCTGCACTCATCATGATATTTACATATCTATACGCCATTCATTTTATACCTTCTGTTAAAACAAGTTTCGATGGTTAAACTTTTCCATTATTTTCAATTTAAAATTAGGAATTTCTTTTTCCTTTTTTCATTAAAATGTTTTAAACATTTTAAGAATGAAAATATTTTTAGAACATTTACATGACACAATGTGAAAGTTTCCTTTATTTGCATTCTTTACAGCTTACATGAAAAATATTCATAAAAATTTAACGAACAAAGTATTTGATGTTGGAACTAAATCGAAGCTTAAAATTTCATAAATTCTCATGAGTATTATGTGAATTTGTAATTATTTCTACAACATGAAAATTTTGAAACTGAAAATTGAGTTTTAAGGTTGACATGTAGGAAGATAATTTGTGTGTTGAGCAAACTTCAACTAACTAATTTTGAATCGAATGTGTCAAAGAGTTTGGTGATTGAAAGTAATTGGATGTATTAAACAAGCAAACATAAGGTTTGATTAATTAACAGCAATCTCATTGAAAACCTTCTGATGATGTTTCACAAGTGGTTAAAAGTGAAAATAAATTTTAAATCCCTTGTGATGAACGAACACTCTCATCACCGTTATTGTGCTCAATTAAGCTTCAATCTACTAATTCACCTGCTGCTTTCATTATTTTGGTGGCTTAAGTACGTCTTAAGACGAGACAGATTACCGAGAGGCAGTCAAAGCACTTCCAATCAATTATTTCAATCTTAATGAAAGATACAAATTATGTTGAATTCCGGCAGCATCGAAATGTGACTCACTGCCATTGATCAAATGTCTAAATAATTCATCATTAATCTTTTCTTTTCACTTACTATCTGACTTGCTTACCCTCACATGATATCGAAATTGGAAGCATTTCAATTCACTTTCTAATTGAATGTTCGTCTTTAATACCGATAATAATAAAAATGTCGATGGAAAAGTATTCACGATGAAGTGAATTGTGATATTGATGACGAATCACAACATAGCAATCATGAGATTTAAAAGCTTATAAAACGAAATGAAAAGAAATAAAATAAAGAAACATTGCAAATAATACTGCTAGAGTTAATTATATTAAGTAAAAGGCTGAATTGCTTGATTTCTGCGGTTGAATTTCTTTAACAAATTTTTTTGTCTGCATAAATGTCATGAATTGAAGTTGCGGTTTCTTAGATTCATCTTCATGACATGGAAGTTAATTCAAAAAGAAAATCGATAATTGTCATGAAACGCGTCGCGACTGACAACTGCAGTGGAAATCTTCAAAGTCTCAAACGTCGCTCGCGTGCAAATTCTTCATGCTCAAGATGCACAACTTTACACAACATTTTTACAAATATGCGAGAAGAAAATTATCAATTTTTATGCAAGGAAATGAATAAAGAGAAAAAGTGAAATTACGCTACAATGTTCAGTGATAGTGAATGGAAAGAAATAAAAAGCAAACTGAGTTGAGTGAGACAAATTGTCCTCGAGATGAATGGTAAAGTAATTTGTCATTAAAAACCATTTTTCAAGTAGTTTAAGCATAAAAAAACTTGTAATCACTTCAATCAAAAACCTTTTTCCTGCATTATGCTCAGCTATCTTTTTATTTAAAATTTCTCATGTGAAAAAACAATGCGCACTCATGAGCAGAAGACGAAAGTCGAATCATTTCTAGATAAACTTTCAAAAGGATTTTTCTTAACAAAAACTCGTTACCGCTTCGGTTTGTTCTTTCTTTGATGTCACTCTTTATCATCCGCAATTTCAAATTCAGATGTTGTTTTAAGTTCAAAGGATGATGAAATGATAACGAAGAGCTTCGTGAAGATTCTCGAGGTCATTGAAGCAATTTTGCCAATTAAAGCAGCTAAATGTTTACACCTCATTAAATATATTTAAATGATTTTAAAGAACTTTTTCAATTACGACTTATTTAACATAGCCACGTGTACGCTTAGCAGGTTTTGTAGGAAATTATCACGGTACTTTTGTAAATATTCACTTGTAAGTAATGCAAAGAAAGTTTTAATTACTTCTCGTACTTATTTCATCTTAACACACGAGCCAACAATTTCAGATCCAAAGCACGATCGTGAATAATGCGAAAAGGAATAAAAAAGAACAAGAATTGAAACAAAAGTTTTATGATGGAAAGTTTTTTTCTATCCTTAAGTCTTATGTCAGGTTTTGGCAGTATGAAAAGCGGAAAACAATTTTCCATCGGAGTACAACTAGAATGGATTAACTTGTCAGCTGTCAATCGACTTTTCTCTTACCTTCTGCCTGTTTTTGTGATCTTTTAGTGAGATTGAGGTGAAGGAGGAAGAACTTGATTGACAAAACAGATGACTGAAAGCTTAACATTAACTTCCTCCATCCATTGAATCATCGAAATTTGCGACGATATCTAAAGAGATATTTAAATCTGAATTCTCTTATTTTACAATATCCCACAATTCCCAAAACGAGGCGATTTTCAAACGATGAAGTTGAATTTATTTCAGCATTAATATTACATTTAAATTTTATGGCAAAATATATTTTCATTTCAAACACAAACATGAACGAAGGAAAAGTATCAAAAGAGTCAAGGACGTGAAATTTATTTAAGCATAAGAAAAAAGAAGAAAAGCAAGAAAGAAGTCGACAAATTAAAATCCATTCCGCGTACTAACATAATTGGTTGAGTGACAAGAACATGAGAATTTAATAAGACTTTACATTCACTCAATCGGTGTCGGAATATGCGACGAGAAAAACGAATTTTCAATTCATGTTACGGGATTTTTTTAAAAGAACTTTCTTCGTATCCGAGCTTTTATAATTTCTTCCATAATCTCGTGCGTGATTGATGGTTGGATCCGTAAAAAAGGAAGAAAACATATGAATTGATATCGACGCCAAAAAACCTGAGAATATGTGTCGAAAATTTGTTTCCTTTTTCTTCTTTTCACCGCCAGTGAGAATGGAAAAAGAACTCATGTGAACATATTGGAAGATTGTTGTGAGAGAATAAAATTTGTATCAGCATCGCGCTATTGAAATCACGAAAATCGATCTCAATCAAACTCAATGATTTTCCTGAAATTCTTATTTATCAAAAACCATAAATAAATAAAAAAAATAAGATGAAATGAAATTGAAAATCATTTTACAGAAAGCGAAAAAAGTTTTGACATTCGACAAGGAAAGAAAAGAGTGAGAGAGAGAGAGAGAGAAGTTCATTCACTCGAGCAAGACATTTGACGATGATTGAAGTTGAATGAAATCATTAACCATTGCGAAACTTTTTCCGATTGAATAATCAAATGTTTTTATCGAACTAAGTACACGACTGACCTTTTTGTTAAAGTAGCTTTTAATTTATTTATTTGTTGAGTTAGGTATCTTTGTACTCTATCAAAATAAAACTTTCTTTGTATGTAAGTAATCAACTCCCGCTATTACTAAAGTATATTTAATATCATGCAATGCGATTGTGAAAAGCATGCGATGTAAGTGATTAAATGCTCACTGTGCAACATAATCGAAAGTTACAATTTATTTCCTATTTAAAATCTTACTTATGTGCTTTAATAATTATTTATGCGAAATATCGTGAACAATTTTTCGTTGCTCGCAAATCATCGAAATCAGCTGAAATTAACTTTTCACACAATAAACGATTGAATATAATAGAAACTAATGCGATCGAAGAAGTTATGTAAGGGAATATGAAACAATCAACTCACAACAGTGTTCAATGATTGTGAGAGATTTCAACAGCGTCAGCTTGTTAAACTCCACAAAGAGATTCGCAACATGATGAGATGATGGGAGGGTTTAACAGGAATGTCACTTGTTAAAAACTTTCATGTGTCTTCGATCCGAAAGTAATAATTAGCTCATAAAATAAAAGCTTTCAAGCATCACATATACTTAAGTAAAACGACTCAATCTCATTTAATTGCTTTTCAATAAGAGTTCATTAATTTTTAATTTTTTTCCTTTACATTTATTTCTTCAGATGACGCTTCATTGATTTCCTTCATGTGTTTTAAGTTAAATAAAGTTATTTTTTGTTTTCGGCTCATTGCACAATTTTACATTTCACTCGATCGAATTGTTTTGCGAATATTTCACCTGCTTTGGATGTTTCAACAAGCAACCGAAAAAGAAGTCGAAAGGCTTGTAAGAGTTTCGTTTAAATCAAACATTAAAATATTGTTTACCAAAAGCTTACTTAATAAAAATCGATTTCATTACCCAGTTGGAGCTTTGTTGGATGTTTTTTTCTTGGTGACTTAATGGAAAATAGTTCGATTTTTAATGAAGATTTGATTCTTTGGGTAGCGAGTTAAAATTAACACATGCGATGAAAATAAATAAAAAGTGGCACATGACGTAATGAATTTATTTTAGGTAAAAGAGAAAACAGAACCACGCTGCGACAATGTTCGAAACTCACAACACCTGAATGAATATTCATGAGGCTTCATTCAGCTTTCGATACGAAACCATTTTGACGATAATTGAGTGTCAACGTTTCAATTAAATAACAACATCTACCACTCAAATGTAAAACCTTTTCCGAACACAATGTGCAAGCTCCAAAACTGCACTAATTAAGTAACTGACCTATTGTGGGTCTAGCCACCACAAAGACGCTTATGTCAAACCACAAACATAGATGAACGGTTGGTTGGTTGGTTGGTTGATTGTATAACTCACCACGACCTACAAAACTTACTCATTCGAAGGGAAAATTCATGAACGACATAATTAAGATGCAACTTTAAATGGAAGCAAATTTGTCTCGAAACTTGAGATGAAAAAATGTAAATTGGATGAAGATTTACGATAATGATTGTTCCCGCGACACGATACTTTTTAACAATATAATTATGATTCCCTCTTGTAATTTTAGATTGCTTACTACAATGTACTGAATTAAACAAAAGCTCCTTTGACCGCCATCACTTCAAAGTTTAGTTTACAAATCTCGGTCGTCGTCAAAAGGTTGATTACAGTTAAAAATCACGACACGACAACGAGCGGAAAAGAATGTGGAATCTGGTATGGCACTCCATATTTGGTCCATGTGCCTAATAAACATCAAGCACAAAGTTGTTTGCTCATGTAAATAACGAAAAAAAGCGAGTCGAATGATCGACAAGAAAAGAAGCAAAAAAGATTGAGCTCGCGGACTTCGCACAGATGAAATCAAAGCCAAAGAGTTGTGGGCGTTTGGTTCATGAAATTTTATTTTTATTCGTCTCTCAAGTTACTCGCTCACACATGAAACCACTGTTCAACAATAAAATTATATTTTCAAATTTAAAGGTTAACAAAACTTGTGACTCAAGTGGATTTTCATTTGACAATACGTAGACGAGTTGTGACAGTGCAAAAGCACTTGATTGAAAGCTTAAATAAATTACGATGATATTTGCAGAAATAGAAACTACTTTGAGGTTGTTCTGCGTTCGTATTTTACAAGATAACTGTTCAGTCTTGTCGATTAATGAATTTTATAAAGAAATTCTTGCAAAGAGAAAAGTTAAAGCTCATCGATGCGTTACAGAAACCTTCTGAATCGACCACAAGACTGCCTGATTTGGTCAAGTTTAAATAACCTGTTCTGTATTGCTTGCTGTTCTGCATCAGAAAACATCCTTGAATTAATTACAGAAGTTGAATATTGTAGCAAGGTACGTGCGGTCTAAATTAAGAAGCAATCTAGACCATTTTTGATAACCTTCTATGAAAACAGTTCGACGATGAAGACAAAAAAATTGTGCATGAGATTTAAAATTTTTAAACAATTTAAATATTTTTTTTCGTGAGAATCTAAGATAGCTCAAGCCTGTTCTCTGGCTTATTTCAAACAAATCGATTCTTGTTTACTTCAACTAACAATCTCATGAACTATTTAAGAATACAAAAAGCAATTTTGTTCTAATAAGTATGATGGACGTGCCATGCCATATTCAGTTTTCTCATTTATAATGTAGAAACTGAAACTTCGCCTTGTCTATCATTGAATTTAATAATCGCTGCTATGAGATGATACAAGATGAAAATGTTTTTCTCACTCTTTGATGGCTGAATATAAATTTGCGATAGTGAAAATGTTGAAGCCTTAAAGAGTGAGTGAAATCAAGAATATCTCTTTGGCTTCATACATTAAATATGAATAATAGAACCATAAATGAACCCAACATTGTTTGCCATTTATTTTTCATCATATTAATATGATGTAGCATAGCGTGGCATGATTGTATGGTGGAAGAACAAAAACAACTCTCGAGTGGGTGAATGATTTGATGGAGAGGTCTGTAAGAGACTCGAAAGTGATTCAAGAAGCATTTATTATAGAAAAAGGAGAACAAATCGAGCAAATAACAACCATGTCGGAAATGGAATTGAAATTTCTCCCTTGAATGATGATGGTGGTCTGGATAGTAACAACGGTAATAAATATTCACTTTCTAAGGTAAAAGTTTATTTGATCAATTGAATTTTCTTTGCAACAAAGGATAAGATTTTGTTGTCTTGGAAATTAAGAGCGGGCTCGAATGTGGAAAAAAATGTTGGAAAACATTTCTCTTGCAAGCGAAACTTTTCTGAACATTTTCCAATTTAAGTGACTCGTAAACTTCACTTTTTTAATATTTTTTAAAAAGAATGAACACAAAATTGCATTAACAAACGAGACTATAGAAAATTTCATCGCGTCATGATACTTCATCATCATTAAGATGACAAGCCAGCACGTGACATATTTTGCATCGATTTTCATGACCTTGACCCAGCAGTCTTTTGTAACTCTAAAACTTTTGTGCACGAGTTTTTTGTTTCGCTATTGTTTCAACAAAAGCTTTCATAAGAACTTTCATTGTCCGAAAAGTATTTTACCCTCTGGGAGTTATACAAGAAACATTAAATGACCATAAACTTCAAAAATTTACATTATACGAATGCATTTCTCATTGTGTGGTTGCTGACAACATTTATTTGCACACAACTGACATGAAAGCTCTGTTAGCGTCTGCCTTCAACCGAAAAGGAAATGAAAAATAATTTCTCGTCTCGATGATGGTAAATTTCTTTTGTTCATGGCGTATGAGTTCGTAACAGCAAATAAGATTAAAAGAATAATATTTGAAGTAAAATGAAGACTAAATTCAAATGCGGCACTCGAATGATTTATGCGAAGTGGCTTTCCTCGCTTCTGTGATAAGTTTTATGCGAAATAATTAAATTTAAATTTGTTTCTTCATGAACATTTTCTTTCTTTCTCTCTTTCACCCTCTCACTTTCCCGAGCGGCACAAAAGGCGATGTCTCTCACAAATCTGGCATACGAGTATCGTCTCCATTTAAATGGGAAGGCTTTCCTTTAGAATCCGCCATATGAAAGACATTTGGCTAAAAACTACTGGCTATCGCCTAATTCTATCACCTTAAGTTAGTTATGTGTTGGACTAGTGAAGAATTTCTTAAGCTGCCTAATGGTAGCCTTATTTAGAGTTAATGGCATGTGGGGAAGCACCATAGCGTCAACTGTTAGTGGTAAATTGATACTTCGGTGATTTTCGCTGATTTCTGAAGGAAAAGCCAAAGGAAGTGCCAACTAAAAATCGTCGTAGTGCAAACGTATGACTCCGGCACGGCGAGTGTGTGCCGCTCGGGTTTATTCTTGTACGATAAGTAATAAAAAAAGACTTGAAATTCTTGAGTTCTCTTGAGGTACTTAAAGGTTGTTTCCCATCATAAGCATCATCGCGATAACTAATACAAAGTCATATCAAATAACAAACTCTCATAAAAATGAGTCTGAAAAAATAAAATAAATGAAAAGATGACATCAGAAAAGAACTTTTACAGCCAACTCATAACTGATACGAATCAAAAGATTCGCTTGCTTCTCCACTTTATATGTATCTACAATTATTATGGTTATGAGTTCTGTGTCATTGTCTTTGAGACAGTCAGTGATAGGGTGAAAGACATTTTATCTTACTCCAAGAATATTTTGTATTCATTGGTTGATTGCAATAAAAAATGATCAAATACGACAACGACATATTTTATTTATTAAATCAGCGACGAATGTCGTTAAAGCTTTTAAAATGATCCTTCTCAAGATACTTCAAAATATCGACAAAGAAAAGTTAAATTATTTATATTCAAAAGTTCAAAAGATTTTTCTAAAACATATAAAAAAATTCTTTTTACAACTTTTCTCATCTCGTCAAAATGTTTAAAAAATAACAAAAAGGCAATCAAACTTTTTCAATTATCGCGAGTAAAGACATAACAGAAAAATATTTGAAGTAAAATCCCCTGAGGCAAAAAAATGACGTCATAAAAATAATTATTAAAAATAATGCTTTGTAATTAGTTGTAATGACAGTGCGGGTTTAGCAACTCAACGTTAGTGCTAAGCCTAATGAAAATGAGATCTTCTTCGGACCAGCGTAATTAATCTTAAATTCTCGTGATGTGAATCATCTAACGCCTTCAATTTACATAATGAAGAAAGGAAGACAGCCAAAGTGAAAATGAAAAGCATTTTTCGTCGACTTCCTTCAGTTTCATTGTGCGAAAAAATAAAAATGGAATTAATGAACTTGAATCTACGTGTAGTTCTGTCTCTTCTCAGCTGCCTTATTTCTGTTGCTAAAATTTGAACTTTTTCTACTAGAATTGTACGTGATAAACGATGCCAATAACGCGTAACCCACAATCGAAAACGTTGAGATGTGAAGAATTCAATTTTCAACAGTGTAAGCTACATCAAGATGATTTCGTTAAAACGGAGAACAAATTTTTCTTTTTTCCCTTCACAGGGAAGCAGAATAAGAAGTGTGATGAATTAAATTGTGAAAATTCTTTTCATTGATCACGAATATTAACTGCAAGTCACGTGCTGTGTCAGCTCAAATTCCTTTCAAATGATTAAAGACCTGAGAATCTCAAGAAAGTTATTCGCATCATTACCAAAAACGCATGTTTAGTAAGTAAGAAGTTTATTTTGTTACAAACGACGCACTTTTATCTCTCCCACTCACGCGATTTCGTTTTCTTAAAGCACATTCCAACATGATCATCATACATCTTGTCTATTTTGAAAAGTTTTGCTTTTGGGAAACTCACGTGGCCCGTGGGAAAAAAGAATTTTTATGATTTGGAATTATTTTCAATTGTTTTTTTTATGAATTTATGCTTTTTTAAACTTATTTTGATTGTTTGAAACATGGAACATTTAACTCTCCTATCATTCATTCCCGTTAGTTGATGAAAATATCCAAACTGAGTGAATAAAAAAATGTTTAAAGTTGGAATTAATATCGCGAGTGAAACGGAACGAGAAATAAAAAACTTGAAGAAGAAACTTGATGCACGCATTCAGATTGATTCAAGGCCGGATCACGTAACATTATTTTTACTTTCTACTTCAATATCAAGCGCATACTTAAGTTAATGTATCTCACTCACATTTTTATTTATGTTGCCAGTTGACTACTTAAGGTAGACGCGCGTAAAAATTCATGCATCAATGTGAACTAGTTTTACAAGTCTCACCAACAGCAGGTTAACACTTCAACGACGATGATTAGTAGGTTTAAAAGTATGTTCAGATTGCACAATAGAAAGGCTTTTAAACATAAGATCGGCTTATACTTCAGCGCTGAGTAAATATTTAAGTCAAAACGTTTTCCTCTCAACGACAACATGAATGACTTAACAACGTCTTTCTAATCTAGTTTTAATCTCTTCATGAAACAATTAACATGTCTAAGCTTCTGGTATTTTTTGCTGGTTATTTGTTTTTCCTTCGTTTTGTTTCTTTCTTGCTTTCTTATGGCTAAAGAGTTTCAAATGAAATGGCCATAATAGACGGTCATTAAGATGAAATTATGGTTTCATGTTTATGTGGTTAAACTTCATCTATGTATGTGAACCTATCTCAGTTTCATCCGTACTTATTCCTTCCTGTTTTCATCGCGATTCAAACTCGGAAACTCTTTTTCACGATACATGGAAGGTCGTTTGGATATTAAATGTTTACATTAAAATATTCGCTTTCTGTTTTCGAGAATTTCAGCGAGAAAAATATTTTCCTATTATCTCCTAATGGTAAATACTTTTATTAAGACAAATTCCTAATGAATCTCTGAAAAATAAGCTAGGAAAAAAACAAAAGTGGTTTATCACAGCTTTAGCTTTAGCTACTCGAAAGTCAAAACAGGAAAACGAAGATTGAAATTTTTTATTTTGTTTTTGTTCATTCTTCTACTTTTTTTTCGATGTCTTGCGCTGTTAGAGTTTTCCTTAAGTAATTAAAGACATTCGAAAAATGTTTTGAGAAAAAGTTTTCATCTTTAAACTTGATTTATGGAATAAATGGGAATAAATGATATGGAAGTGACGTCGCGACAATCAGGAGACTATTCGTGATGAGAAATAAGCTCAAGATATTTAATTTGTTTTTAAGATTACATCCTTTGATAAATGGAGGAGTTATGTAAGTATTTCAGAAATTAATAAATGATTGAATGATGAAATAATTTAATATCTATAAAGAGATTTCCCGGAAAAGGTTGAAATGCCACAAGTTATGAGACGAGATAATGAATAAATCTAATCGATAGCTTCAAAGAAGCTTAAATCAATTTTATCTCAATTTCATTCCAAAAAAATAAGGAAAATCTTTTTGTGAAAAGCTTTGAGGACTAATTTTCAATCATTTATCTATTTCTTGCATGAACAAATAATTTTTCCGCCTTTCACAGTTCTCGAGATATGAGAAACGAGAAAATCAATTTTTATACTTTTTTTCCTTTCCTTTCCTTCCCTTTTAAAATGGAATTTGGAGACGCTCAAAATATGTAGTAGCTGAAAGAAAAAGGTCGTTTCCGACATTCTGGAACTTCCAACATTTCCATCTTTTTCTTTAACTTTGAAATGTCTTGTTACATCATAAATTTCTTTGTTACTCTGAATGAATACCATCGTTGATGTCCTAAGCTGCTTATTTTGAAGTGCTTGTCTGCATAGCTTTCACTTGAAACTCAAAACTCAACAACAAAGATCGGTTGCTATGGGGTGGATCAGCAATTAGAGAACCTCCTGTCTTGATGTTGTCATTTTGTCAACATAGAAAAAACGACTTGACGGATTATCTTTAAATCTTGATCCCCAATCTCATTGTCTCCCAAACAAATCGTGAATAAAACATCGTTCGGAAAAGTTAATGCATTAAAGATGGTTAACTTTCAACTAAATGGGGATAGAATATTAAACGAAATAAAACATTGAACAAGGAAAAAATCAAAACCTACAAATTTAAGTGGAATGAAATTGAGTTTGCATCGTAAGGGATGTTCGAAAACTGCTTACGATGAGCGAGAATGGTTTATAAATCTTTTAAAAGGTCAATGGAAAAGTATGGCTGATGAATTATTGTTCGACTTTTAAAACAAACCCCTAATGCCTTTTTCCTGTATAACAATACCAAGCAATCAATGGGCGATTTATTTTCATTTCCTTTGACTTCATTTCACTTACATTCATTGAACAATCACTTTAATACCAAACGATGATTCTTTTGAGAACAACAAAAATTTCTCATCTCTCTTTTTTTTTGCAACAAAGGTAATATGTGTGGGTGTTGAATTTCGCATTTTGGCATCAAGAAACTGAAATATTTCCAACTCGTTCTTCATCTAAACAAGCAAACCTGTGCAAAGTCATTAAGTCTCAAATTTATTTCAGAATCTTTTTGTATTCTTGTTTCAACTGAAAATCAACTTTGGATGAATTCAGTTGAGGTGACAAAAGTGACTGTGCTAATAGCGAGAGATTCGTGGGTGTGAAAGTCACGCATAATTCACAAATTGTCAACAGATGGGAAAAGTAGATACAACAATCAGATTTGACTGCCCGCCTCGTGTTGATCTACGTAATGGAAAGCGTAGGATTAAATTTACAAACACGTTTAACGGTTTTTTGCCACGCTTGTTTATCGTCATAACCCATTTCGTTCTACCAGCAATCACCTCAATCTTCAGCGTCAAATTTTGTTTGCTGAAGTCAATTATTTGTTATCTTCGAACAAAACTGTTAAACGAATTACTTTGCTCAAACAAAATCATAAAAATCATGTCGCGATTGATGATAAAGTTTCGCTTTCGATTTCTTTTGATAGAATTCCGATTCTCATCGAATTTTCTTTGATTTTTCTTTCTCACTTGACTTGAGAGTTGCTAAACAAAAAAACTTTTTTACTTTCTTTCCGAAGCAAAGCAAATCAAAAGAGGAAATGAAAGAAAAAAATGCTCGAGGCAACATAATTAAGAGCACATATCGTACATTAAAGTCATCAATAAATCATTTTTTATGAATAAATTTGTTTTGCTCATTAACGTTCATCGTCTTTCCTTAAAATGCAATTTAATGCCATGAAATTTTCCACAATCTTGACGTGAATGTTGGTGGTGAATATAAAGATGATAACAAAGATCTTAAAATATAATTTCTCACGACAATGTAGCGAATTTTCCTCGCACAATTTACGCTTTGTCTCAGTGAATTGTTTTATAGCTGCAGTAATTCTATTCATTTTATTTGACTTTTACGATCACACATTTTAAGTACACTTTTTTTTCATTGAACTTTATGAATGTTTGCTATCCATAAAAGGTATAATATCAAGATCACCATTCATAATTTGAATCTTTTCTTTCTCTTTCATGTTTTATTTTTTGCACAGACACAGCGGGAAAATATTTTTGAAACATGCCCGCAAAATTTTTCATTCTTTAATTCTTTTTTATCACTTATTGTGGTACAATAAAATGTAGTGAACGATAAAATAAAATTTGTTGTCTTTCATGTTTGAAGATGTTTCGTTGTTAGCATAACTGATGAATATATCTTTATGATGGATTCACACAGGCATCGTCACGAAATAAAAATCGATTATCGATTTTTCCTAGTTTTACATCGTAAAAAATGATTAAATTATTTTTCTACTAAAATTTACTCTCAAACTCGAATTAAAAAAATATTTAAATTCAGAATTTGCCTCAGAAACTTTTTGTGTATCCAACATAAAACTTTTTAAACTTTTTAACTTAGAAAAATAACTTTAAGAAAAATTACCTGACGACTGTTTCACTTTTGACGTTTAAATCGCGACTGTTGTGAATCTGTGCTGCAGCTGGAGCCACTGCTTTGGTATTTGATGATGAAACATTTAAACTATTCAACGTTACTGATGAAGCATTCAATGATGCCGGTAAAACATTCAAATTGCTTGTTTTTGTTGTTGCCTTGTTTCCTTTCTTTGGTTTGTTTTCATTTATGAAAACGCTGTCATCATCATCACTTTCGTTTGTAACGTTTGTATTCGCCTTGCTGGGTGAAGTTTTATTATTGTTTTTCATAACAATCGCTTGCTTTTTATCATCCTCTTGCTTCTGATCCAACACTTGTTTCACATCAGGTTTTAATGTTTCATTCACAAGAGCTTTAGGTAAAGCTTTAAAAGATGTTTTCGATGCCAAGTTTGTAGTATGATTTGATTCCAAAACATTTTTTGCGTTGTCTTTGTCATTTGCCGTTGTTTGTTGTTGTTCCAAACGTTTTTCCTAGTATGAATAGAACAAGGAAAACCCATTAAAAACAGTCGCTAAAACAATATTGTTTTTTGGGAACTTTTGTGATTAAATAAAAGCTCTCAAAAGCTCCCTGCTTTAATAGAATGAAAATTATATAGCTAATGCTTATGTATAATTTAACAATCATTGTTTATTGAGTGGTTTTACGTCTCAATGCTTAAGACAAAACATAATTAATTGCTTTATGAATTTAATGCTTTGAAATTATATTCACAGAAATTTTCCACCTACAATTATTTCAATTCTGATCAAGGTTAATTATATTTTGTGTGCAAAGACAACTTTTCACGTTTAAAGTACTTTCGACAAATTTTTATTTTAACACTTCACTGTCAAAAAGCACTTAAAGGGTATCTTGAACTTGAAATTGTTTGCCTTTACATCAAATGCCTTCTAGCGTAACTTAATATTAAAACAAAACATTGGCTCTTTAGTTACGACAAAGCGTTTGAAGAAAGTTCTGAAAGGTTTGAACTGCTGAGAGAATTCCAAAAGGTGGATGAAAATTATTTTTCATGTTATGGTCATTTGCACTTTTGATATTTTAACTCTTAACCAATCTTGTACCTTTGAATGCATAAATAATGAAACCAAATAACCTAAATAGAAATAAAATTCATCCCGTTTTTCCGTGCGATGTAACATTCACAAACATAAGAAGAACAAACATAGAAAAGTGTAATAAAATGAAAGGACGAAAAGGAAAATTTGAACTTATTTTATATGATCGCATGTTGTATGCAGAAAGATTTTTAAATTCCTAAAAAGGTTTCAATTTGAAATTTCAGGTATTTTCCAAGCATCAAACGTCTGAAAGTTTCAGAAAAAAATGGAACTGGTCTGAAAAATTGTCACCAAATGAATCTCATTCAAATATTTTTCATGGTGCTTTAACCTTTCCCAAAATTAAAACAAATTTATATAAATAATGCATGTGAATGAAAGAAAGAGTTTGAACTGAGCTAACAAATTGTCGTGAAAGTAACGAAAATCAAACAAGCGAAAAAATTAAATCTATGTAAATAAAATCGTTTGCTTTGCAATTCATTTTATTCTCAGAAATGTTTTTCTACCTTTCAGTTAATATTTCGTTTACACTCTTTGCAGTCTAAAATATGTTTATTTAATCCAAAAAAGACATTTTATTCAGAATTATCATATTTTCGGATTGCAAAGCTAACAACGGAATTGTCTTGAACAAACATCCAAATCTCTTTAAATTCAGAACTTCAAAGAAAATTATTTCTCAGAGTTCTCATGTTCTGAAGCATAAGTTTTTCCTTGTGGAAAGAAAAAGTTTCTCTGGAAGTTATTACGGTCCTATTAAACCATGGTTAGAAAGCAGACCTTTGACCTTTCCTATTTCGTTTACTGAATAACAAAGCAACATTGTTAGAGTATGAAAGAAAGAGGAAGAAAAAGCAGATACCGAACTAACAAAAGATTTTCAATTGAAAACATTATCGAATCGAGTGAAGGGGGAACCTGTTAGTAATTGTATTCAATTAACCTTTAGGAAAATAAGTTTCATCATCAAAAGGTTTATTTTATTGTCGTCCAATTTTATAAAAGAAAAACAAATACATCAGAAGAAGAAAAGTTTACAAAGCAAGAATCAAAAGCTAGATTTTATTTAGCAAAAGGTTTATCTTAAATCGAGTTGAGTGAGTAAATATTTAGGTGTAAATATAGAAGAATCTTTTCTTTCATCTTTCTTCATCACGATCACTGTCAATAAAGACATTTTGAATTTCACTGCGCAATTTTCCCATTAAGATTTTGTGTCTAATTCACAACAATAATCTGTAATTAACTTAAAGTGTGCCACTGTAGGAAAAGTTTCGTTCACAATATTTCCATGGCGATAAGTATTCATTTTTCTATAATATTCTTATTCAAGGACAAAAATAGATCTTAGGATCATTTGAAGACTCCTTGTAATCTTTTTCTTGGACAACCCATTATTGCAATACTTTCTTGTTAACTGCTGAAAATGAGTAAAGCTCGTTGAGGACAAAACTCTTTGCGTATTTATCTTTAATTCAGCTAATTCCAGAATTTATGTCTGATACAAACATAAGTCATATAAATACATAAAACGAAACAATGGCAACATAAAACTAGTACTTAATAGCGACATTAATGCGTGAGTACTTACAGTTTTATTTTCGTTATTATCTCGTTGTGTTGCGGACTCATCTTTACATTTAGAATCCTCAAGAAAAACGTCATCGTCATCATCATAAACAGCGACGTTTTTTAACTGCTCAATTTTTGACAACGAATCATCGGGAAAAGTTTTATTGTTGTCGTTCATGGGCATGTCTGTCACTTTCACTTCTGAAGATAAGGTTTCATGCGATAAAATCTTTTTGTCAGTTGAAAAGCTTTCATCCGCTTGTGGAGCTTTTCCTTTCACTAAATTTTCATCAGCATCAACATCGTTTTGTTTACTTTCCTTTTCAAGTTTCTGATCCGTTTTCTTTTTCTTTTTCGAGTCATTTGACGAAATAGATGAAGATAATTTAGGGACAGTGCCAGTTGGTTTTGTTGTTTGATTTGTTTTCTGATTTTCATTTTGCATCAGCATTTTGTCCGACTCTTTTATTATCAAATCATCAGAAAAGCTTTCAACATTTAACTTTATCTCATCATTTTCGCTTCGAAGTGAATCAGCTTCTAATCGTTTTGGATTCCTTCTCGGTACTTCGTAAATCGAAGCTGATGTTATTAGTTGTTGCGTGTTGTTAATCAACACATTATTTCCCTCATTTGTAGTGTTTTGACTTCTTCGCTTAACATTGCTGACATGCTTAATGAAATCTTCAGCATAACGATTACTTTTTTGATCAAAAATTTGTTGTGCTTGATAGTCGTTGGATTGCTGATTGCCATTGTGATGAGATTTCATCATGCGATTGTTATTAATATTATTCATATTATTTATATTTGTATCATCAAAGTCTGAAGAGAAATAACTCGACGAACAATCACAATTCCGTAAATTACATTCGTACCGACACGTGTCAGAGAAGCTGCATTTTTCATTTTCGAGACTACACCGACGCCGACATTCGTAATTAAACCGACAACTCTCTGAACTACCGAAATACCGTTTATTCGCGTCACTCGAAAACAACGAATCACCGAGACTCGAGTCACTCATATCTTGCCGGATTAACGTTTCGTCACGATTGTGATTGTTATTGCTATTTCTACTCTTATTACTTTGATTACTTTTCTGACTGCTATTCTTGCTGTTATAAATTTTATTCAACGAATTTTCACTTCGAATCGAATTTGATGAATCAGTTTTGTATAATATCGACGAACTATTCTGATCCTTATTCCCTTGCTTGTCATCATTTGAATAAAGATAATTAGGTCGCGTATAGAACTCATTCGATTGTTGTTGATGCGGCTGTCGATAATTAAGTTGGTTAGGTCCTCTGATAGAATCGCTCGACGATGATGATTTTGGCATGACTTTTCCATCGCCTTTGAATGTTTGTTGTTGCTGTGCACGAGCGAAAAGCTGATTAAGTTCTAATTGATATATCTGCTCTTCAATCGGCATGTACTCAAAAGCTACAGGTGTTGTTTCAATCTTATACACGTTCGGATTGTTTGGATTATAAGATTGAAATTGAAGAACATTCTGACTATGTTGCTTCTGAGATTGTTGCTGTTGTTGCTGGAAGAAATCATAAATTGATTGCTTGTCAAGTTTACTCTGAACTTGGGCATATCCTTCGCTGCCAGATAGAGAGCCAGTCATCAGTTTCCGGCTCTCAACACATTTATCACAATTCAACTTATCACACAATGTGTGTGGTTGTTGTTGTTGATTTTGGCCTTGCTGTGCTTCCTGTAAACATATTTCACAGCTCATGCAATTTCCGTCATCACTTAGTGGTTTCTTTGGTTTAATTAATGGCATCGAGGATTGTTTGTTAAAAGGAGGCAATGCTGGTGGCGTTCGTGGCTTCGGCGTTGGTTGATCCTGATAAAAATAAATCTCTTCATAAATATTCTCTTCACTTTTCGACTTAAGTCGTGGCTTCGTCGTATTTGAATCTTGTTTTTGTTTACTTTGGTTCTTCTTTAAACCTTCTTTCAAGAGATAATAATTGAAGCTTCTGATGCCAATTTCGCCTTTAAGAAAACGTTTGCCAATTTGAAATTTGCTCAAAACACTTTTCTTCGGTTCTTGAATTTCTTCTTGTGGTGTCGTTGTTGATGAATCTCCAGTATAATCTGCGGCATTTTGTCTTTGAATTGTTTTAGCCTTACTCCGTGGCTTTTCTACTTGCTTCGTATCGTAAGTGACAGTGAAGTCAAGTGACGAGCGTTTCAGAAACTTTTCGCTCTTCTTCTCACGACTTCGCAAAAACCACGATGACCTTTTAGGCTTAGATTGCGGCTTTTGTTCTACATCAAAGCTCTGAATATTTCTATCTAAGCTACAACCTTTTCGTCCTTTCAGCTTGTAGGAAGAAATGATGTTGTCTAAACTTTCGGAGCTGCTTGAATTCTTACACAAGTATTCAGCGCTGTAATTGTTGGCTTGGGTCGACTTCTTCCTACGCTCCAAGCGCAATGAATAATGACTGGAATATTCCTCCTTGCTGTTTGATTTCGATTTCTTTTTTCCAAACATTTTGAGTGCTTCAGATTCGGGTCCTGAGTTGCGACGAGTTGGGAGTGCTAAATGACGGATATCATCAGTAAATGCTGGGTCATTTGAGTATCTGTCACGAACTGACGATGAAGACCGCTCGGAAAACTGCGAGAAAAGAAACAAATATGAAACATAAAACATTTCTGCAGTCATGAATTTCATTAAAAATTACTTTAAATTTATTCTTTTTTTTGTTCCTTCCAGTGGCCATGAGATGACAAATCTCATTTGCCTTTGACTGGCACTTAGGAAGGGCAGGGATGGTTGGAAGTGCGGAGTGAGATAAACAAAATTTAATAAGCTTTTTTTTGTGCTGGTTTTAAAAAGCAATCATTGTCGAAACATTTTTCATTTCATTATTTTGGATCTGCAAATAGAGTAAAGGAATAAGCGAATATATAATTACAACTCTGAACAATTTTCTAATCTACTAAAATATGAAAATGTAACAGGAAAATTTTAAATCGTAAACAAAGTTCACATCAATACAAGTTTATTTTTATAAATCAATCTTATTGGTTCGAAAAGTTTGAGAAAAATAGGAAATCAACGCCTACACATTTTCAATTAATTTATTTTTCTTTCGAGAAAAATCACACACACACACACAAACTTTTTAATTTATTCATCATCGTCATGAGATTATTACCCTTAGGTGATTTTAAAAAAGTCGTACTTAATGTAGCGTGATTTTTACCCTCACGAAAGCGTTCTTGTGGAATTAAATGTTACTGATGAGAGTTTTTAATGGAAATTGATTTCAAATCCAATAAGAATTAAAAATATCAAAGAAAGGGTTCTTGAGGATTCTCATCGATTCTTTTCGTTCGTGCTTCATAACATGCTGTAAAATCATATGAAATACATTAAACATATGACAATTTCGCTGATGCTGTAGAATTCTCGTAACACATTTCATTTTATATGAAATTTAATTTAGAAAGAAGAATGTACGTGAAATTTAATACGTCAACAATTCTACAAAGCGTTTACGCTGAAAAAACGCTTTTGAAACAAAAAAAAAGGCTGAAATTATTTAAAGCTTTTAATAATCTTTCGAAATGTAAAAGACTTTTGAAAAGAGATCTTCTCGTTAACAAATTTCTGTTCACTGTAATTAAAGAATGAAATTTAATTTTAATACAGTCTGGAGTGAAAGATTCAACCACGCTGATTTAAAAATGTTTCAGGCTTAAAATATTTAATGCAGGTAACAAAGCAATAAAGCGGTGTTGGTTTCAAACATAAAAAATTTAAGGCTTTAAGGTTTATTACAACAAAAGCTCTTCCGATCGTTACTGATATAAAAGGATAATTTTGTTCGAAATCACATAAACTTGAAATCATCTAAATATCCACACAAAAAATGTCATGACAGAAAAAATTCAATTTTTATTATCGTACATAAAACTAATCCCATTCTTGTCTTTAAATCCAATTTTATTTACGCTTACTCAGATGTTACTTAAAGCCTCCAAGTGACGAGAAGAGAAGAAAAAAATTCTAAAATGAAAGCTGAGTGAAAGCGTTCCACATTATGATTTAAATTTAATGTAATTAAGATTTTCTACGACGACGTTGTAAACTTACATCATGAGATGAAAAGAATAATTTAAAATTTTCCATGAATTACGGTTTCCCTTGGATGACTTTCCAACATCGATTTTATGTATTTTATGAAAATTTTACTTCAAAATGTTTTTATGATTGAAAAGGGATTTTTTTATCTTTTATATTTTTCAATGCGAGCTTGTTTGTAAGCAAATTCTATAGAGAAAGGAAGCTACATGGTTCAGTTTTTGTTGATTTACGTCAGCGTGGGTGATTCTCGTCTCATGAAACATCCATTAAATTTCCCATCACGATTTGACATTAATTATAGCCTTATATCCTTTAGAAATACATCAGCAGTGGATTAATGTTCGCTTAGTAAGACCGAGGAAGTGAAGCAGTGTGACGTAGGCACACTTAATCCAATCACCAGAAATCTACAGATGATACGGGTGTTGTTACAGGTAAACGCAGTTATCAGCCACGAACACACCCTGAGAGAATTGAATTAGATACATGTAATTGAGTGGAACGAAGAACCGTATAAATAACATGTTTAGAATATGCAGCATTAAACTCACTTCAAGTCGAATAATATAATTTAGGATGAGGACTAAAATTGGTATGAAAAACAAGTAACAAACATCTTGCAATTTCAATATATCAGAAATATCACAAAATATTCTCTCGGATGATATTCATTCTGCCAAAATTTATCTAATTTATATTTGTTTCTTCGAAAATACTTTCGGTTCGATCAAATATTTATAAGCAATTTTTATCTATCATGTTTTCCATATCGGAGCTTTCTCTTCATGTCTTTGACGGATGGTTAGAAAAGCTTAAGCTTGTAAGCGTCAGAAGAGTTTTCATGTAGCATGTGCAAATTTCAAGATACAATTTTTCATAAATTTAAACAGTGAAATTTAAGGTTCATATTGAATATGATTTAAAACATGATCAGAGTATTAAATTGATGTTTAAAATAGAAAAAGTCTTATTCGCCCTAAAGGTATAAAAACAAGATTAAATCACTTGTCTGATTAAGGGGCAAGGTTCAAAACTTCCCACTTAAAGCTATTGCTTTTGATTTCAGATAAACTTATTGATTGAGGGTTGTGTGCTTTCTCATAAGCCGATATCAAATGTTAACTGAATTTTTTTCATGACGCAGCTTTTTTTCCCTTTCTCAACAATACAACTTGTAATGGAAAAGGTAAAGGAAACTAAATCTGCTCTTTCGAAAGATTATTGCAAGACTCTCTGATAAACACAGTCAAAGCGTAGCTTTCTAGTTAAGCATTTCTAGACAAAAAATATCTCTTTCATGTTTTCTTCTTTCGATATGATTAAGTCTTGAGTTAGAATTAAATTGTGAATGAATCATGAATGGAACTTTATCACCCACCTACACTCGACGAAAACTTTTTCTTATGAAAGTTGAGTAATAATCCAATTAGTTGAAGATTTTTTAAGCACCATTAAATGAAGAAGTTTCAAAATCTCACGTTTTTAAGGACTTTCAAAAGATTAACATCGGAAAAGGGCAAGAATAAAGTTTTCGAATTAGATTAAAGCAACACATCGCAATTTAAAGGAATTACTGACTCTCAAAACTTTATTTTTAAATTCACCTACACAAAACATTTGGTTTTTTTCATTTCATTGAATTACATTGCAAACTCCCACGCATTTAACAAATGAGTTTGCAATAAATAAAAATGGGGAAAAGAATCTTTATACTAAGTTGAGTGGCGCTTTGTCATATTCACTTGAAATTTAATTAAAATTTCATTTGTTTATTTACTTTTGAAATGAGTTTGTTATCTTTTCATTTTAATGGAAAATATTTGGAAGATTGTTAACAGAGTTTAGGCTGTGAATTTAATCTTATTACACTGAAGCTGCTCACAAAAAGCTACTCAGATATTTCAAAATGAGAAAAAAGTCGGCGGAAAATTTATGACAACGAAACCATAATTAATGAGCACAAAATAATGTTATTTCTATTTTCACAATGATTGATCACTTAATTCCTAGTCAATGAGCTTTCTCCGCAAAAGCTCAATCAACTGTGTGATTGAATATTTTATTAAATGTTCATGAATCTACGGTGAATATGCAAAAACTTGAAGAGCATGATATTTAATCATCTTACTTATTTCAGTCACATAAACTTTATCCATTATTAAACATCTAATTTAGGGAGGCTTAATTGTTCTAAGTTATAACATTGGAAATTTCTTTGATATCAACGTCTTGATATTTATCGTAATTTAAGAACCTTTCCACCTGATGTGAGGAATGTTTATATTTACATCAGGTGAAATGTTACAAAAATATTCACATTAATAATTTTTCCAATTATTCTTCCCACAGAGTACACTTAAGTAAGATTTTCCAAACAGAAAATCTGACAGCAGAGATTTTCTTGAAAGCGAGAAGAAGAATGGTAAAAGGAGAAATTCTTTTGATAAGCTTTCAAACAAAATCCGATCAAGCTGTTTAATGAAATGGATGTAAGTCTATCTTCTGTAAACTTGAAAACGATTCCTTTGCTAACATAAACTTTGCACAAAAAGAATGTTTCTAATTAGATATTCAAATTTAAAAATGATTTAATTATTAATTAAAGTAAAAATGTTATTTTTAACATCATCATAAGAAACTGAAAAGCTTTTTTTTCTCAGAAATTTATCTTCTAATACTCAAGAATGACGATTTAGACGAAATTCCAACAACTTCTTTTGACTTCATGATGATGTGCTTTTTCATTTCATGTTATGGAGAGGAAAACTTTTTCCTGAATCTTTCTTTGATTTAATGTTTTTATACGCTCTAAGTTCAAAACAACAAGCTTACATATTGAAACAGAACATCCAAACTTTGGTCTATTTATCTCAAAATGTTTGCTGATTTAATAAGAAATGTTGAAAAGAATTCAGCGAACTCTTTCAAAATGAACAAGAATTTATTTCATCAAGTATGAAAGAAGTAAAGAGATTTGAACTCAGCAGAATTTGAATAGATAAAGAGTAAAAAAGTTTCAGGAACTGAGTAAATACATTTGAAATTCTAAGCTCGGGACTTATTTTCAAATGATGTTCAACACACAATGGGCTTGTCAACATTGTTAACAGGCGGCCACAGACACATGTTCTTTCATTGTTGGATGATGAATCATCGCACACGATGAAATAGAACAAAATTAGGATAAAACATGATATCGAATTTCATCAAACTGAAAACAAAAAAAAAATAAAGAAATGGATCGATAAAATTGTTCAAACTCTTAACGATATCCGGTCGCTGAAACGAAAAATTTCCTTTTTACAAAAGACATGAGTTTGAAAATGAGATAAACATAAGCTTTACCAGAAATAAAAGAATAAGAAAAAAAATATCTTCAACTTTCCTTTTTTCTTTCTCATGTAATTTGAGACGCCCGGCAATTCAATTGTTTGAAAAGGGCTGAAAATTTTCTTTCGTAATGCTTTCTGGCTAAACAAAGTTTCTCTTCAAAAACATATTTTCCGGCTTCGTTACGTCGTTTTTTTCTCTTTAGTTTCTTTATTTGCACGATCATAACGTTAATTCTATAAATTTGCCATGTGATTTATGTACACACTTAAAAGGATTTGACAGAAAACGTGATTAGTCTAGAAAGTTTTTTTTATGGGTTGCAGTAAAGTTTATCCTTTTAAATCAACTTTGAATGCGATTTTTAGCAATTTTTTATGCAATTCATATTCAAGTAATTATTCATTTAATGTTTCTCAAACAATTTTTCAAGATTAAGATCTGAAAACTTGGAACGCAAACGACAAGCTTATCATGTTTGCACAAGGGATTTTCTGCTGTTTAAAAAACTCGAAATTTTACATGACTTAACAAAACGAACAATTTTTGTGTGTTTAATGTTTTTTTTGTGCTGACGTCAACGGAATGTTGGGAAAATGTTTGAAATAATGTTAAACATTTACATCATTTAAAATGAATTTTCATATCATTACAAATTTCATAAAACTAGACGAAAGAAACCTTTCAGTTAAATTGTCAGGAAAACAGCAAATTGTTAAGAAAAGAAAAAGTTAAGATCAAGTTGAGTATTTAATGGAACAATTTACAAATCCCGCTGAGAACAGTGAAAGCAATAATAAATAAGTAAATGAGGGAAATGAGACTGAACAATATTTTCTTATTTTCACACCTACGTCTCGATTGTTACTCGTTTATTGTATTTTTTCTACTCAGGCTGTTCATTCTATTGTGTCCAAAAAAACACTCTTAACCTCAGACGCAATAAATCTTTCTTACTCCAAATCCCCAACTTGTTCAGCCAAAAGAATTCGAACTCATGGTGTTAGATGTCTAAAGGAAAGTCTATAATAAAATAAATAATATATCGATAACATTTAGATCCTTTTCGAAGCAATTCATGTCAATGAAAATATTTTTTTTTTCATGAGTGATGATGAATGAGAATCAATCATAAATAATTTCCTTTTTTTGTCTCGTGAGTGTGGGTGTGCGTCTATATTCATCTTGATATAATTTAATATCAGTTAGGAACAAGGACACCAAATTGCGAGCGAAATGTTTGCTTCTATCATCCATTAAAGGTTATCAAGAAATGTTTCTTACACTCCACACATGTCATGGTGGAAAAGCTCGCACCTCACGGTATATTAAATTATTTACTTCAGAGTAGATTCTACTCATAAATATGTTTAACCTACTTTTAAAATTCTTCTGGTCTAGTTCTGTGTCAATAGAAAATATTTCCAATAAATAAATTGGCATGAAATTTCACATTGACTTCACTATAAACTTAGTTCGAGATATTCTCGGAACTTGTTTTCGTACACAACGAACAAAACAAATATAAATTTGAATTTGGCATTTGAAATGTGAGTCAATTTTCTGAGTGCAGAATTAAATTCTAAAACTTTTTTTTGTACCTTTTTTGCGTATCGTATCAATTCCAAGAAAGCTTGCAAGACTTCCTTTGTATTTTTTACATAAATAAATCGATAAAAATGACAAAAGAACTCAAAAAAACATTATGTATCTGAGGAATCTTAATTTCGCTGAATTTTTCACAAGCATTCAAGGAGTTTTCAAAAGTTGGCGGTGAAATAAATACACAACGCTGAAAAACCATTTATTTACTCAGAAAGTTTTCGACAACATGGAAGATGAAAAAGGCCAAAAGACAAAAAAAGCTTGAAAATGTTGGAAAGAAGCATCAAGTTTCTTTGGAATAAAAAAGAACTCATGCGTGTCATTTCTTAAAATAAAATAATGAGAATGTTGCGTGTTTGTTTTCATTGTTAAGTGAAATTTACATTCTAATGAAGTTAAGAAATGAAAATTGAAATTAAATACGAACATTAAAATATTTATTTCCTTCCAAGAAAATTTAAGGATGCTACAAATAATTTGATTCTTAAAATAATCTCACAAATAATTTGAATTACATAATTTTTTATTTATCAGGATCATGATGAGACAGAACAGGAAATTTGGTGAAAGTTAATTTTCATAGCATAATTTGTTATCAATCACTCTAAAAAGTTCTAAACGCTGAGTTTTAATCGCATAATTTGATATTGATAAGCGATAAATATTCAAACAATTTCTTCCTTCCGTTTTCTTAACGAGTCTACATCAACAAAGAAGAAATTCGGAGAATGTTGCTTCACTTTATTGTTATAATTCGAAAATGTGTGCAAAATTGAGAGGAGGAATTCGTTGATTTATGTTGTGAAAAATTTGATTTACACCGAAAGATTATTCAAGACATTTGTTTGCACTTGAAGTGCGTGTTTCGATATTGAAAAATTATTGCGAAAATTGCTCAAAAAAATTCTTTTCAGTCTTCTCCGTCTTCACGACGACCCCATTCGGTAATGAGGTTGCTTCTAGTTCAAGAAATGATCCCACTTCCATAAATTTAACGGATCTTAGCCTCAAATAAAGGTCTGCTATCAGTTTAACGATAAAAAAAAAGACCTTCGAGCAATATCTTTAAAGTTTAAACCTATGCTGTGAATAAGTGAAGCATAACATTTAAGTAAATTTGCATTAATCATGAAGATCCTTTTAATTAACATTTTCCCGCATTTTTCATGCGCTCTTGAATAATTTTGGTAAATAAATTTCCAACCCTTTTAAGATGAAAATAAGATTAAAATTGGAAATTGTTTGTGTGTGTGTAAGTGTTGATTTTTATTTTTATTTGCAGCAAATGATTCTTGTTAGATAAACAATCATTCTTATGACTGTTTTTGTTTATCGTGAAAGGGAAATATTTAAATATGATGTGGGTGTAATCCTCGTATATGCTTAGTCTTATGTTTGCTGGGAAAAGTCTTATAACGCTTCAAAACAAATATTTTTATTTAGTAAAGCCACAGAAATATGGATTGTACTTGGCTTGGCAATATCGTAAGTGCTTCCAATATAAATCAAATAACCCTTTTCTAATATTTTTCTCGGTGGAAAAAATCCTCTTGATGCTTCGAGAAAGGTTCATAGATATTATTCATAAAATATTAAAAATCACTAAAACAAACAGTTGTTAAAATGTGTACCTTCTAGGATGGCTGTCAGGCAAATGTAAATCCGAAAGTTTGCGATGTGGAAATTCAAAGCTTCCAAGCTTAACAGATTTTTGCTTTTCTCCAAAAAAAAAATGTAATTGTTCAATTAATTTTGTTATCACTCGCGGCTGTTCTCCATTAGAAAGTCGCTCATTTTTATTCGGTATTTTAGAAACCAAATTTATTTAACAAAAAGGCATTCGTTTTCGTTAAACAAGCAGTTCGTTTCAGATAAAAATCTCTTAAATGTTCCCTCATTAAAACCACAAAGAATAAGAAAGATTACGGAAAGTTTTAAACTCTTACGAGGTAATAAAACACACAGAAGAGAACAAACGACAAGATTTAAGATGCGATCTGATGTTGCATAATTGGATGAAAGTTTTTATTATATCGCAATTTGCAGATGATTCGCATTTCAAAATTAATTCAATTATTCCAGTAGATTGATTTATTTACGTGACAATTGCCATTCAATTTTCACACAATTGAGCGTTTTGTTTGCTTCCTTTTTACTCTTGGCATTGTCCATTGCAATAAAATCAATAGCGTTTCCCTTAAAGGGACACAATATATCAGCTTTAGACACGAGGCGAAAGAAGTTTTACTTTTGTCACAAAAAGAAAGTCTTTCATGTCATGTTATCGAGCTTGTCATTCCCGAGACAAAATAATTTATTCCTTGCTAACACGTTAAATCTCCTTTTCTGATCACGACACGATTTATCACGCACGAATATTTTCGAATTTTCCGCAAACTTTCAACAAAAAGCTAAACAAAGTCAATTTACATTTTATGAATGCTTCTTATCGCTTTACTTTTTAAATTGGATTAGAAGAATCTTCTTCTTAACCTGTTGGATTAATAGCGAGAAAGCCAAACTTTACGTTTTATCACGACCCGCGCTCACGTAAAACTGAAAGCTTTTCGATGAGTTTCGGCCTTCGGTTAATTTCTCAACATCGCATAAAGGAAAAACATACGATGAAAGCTTGCATGAGACATGCGCCGTTGAAAGCTTTTGTAGAAATTGAGAAAGATGCTGCATGCGGAATCATTCCATTAAAATTTATTCGCTCTCGAGAAAGTAAAAACTGCAATGTTTTCTATCCACGTGATATGCTTTGATAAAATGTTGCGAGGAAAAAGTATGGCGGGAAATTATGCTACATTGAAACAAGGTCATGGTCGATGATATAACTCCCGTTCATGTTCATGTTTTCAGAGTGAGAGGAGAGAAAGGAAATCCACAATTTTAAGGTTGGGCGGAAAAAGAAAATTTCAAGCCATCATCAACCTCATAAAATATGATTACGTCGCTACCACGCTTATAATTGGATTTGTTTCTGTTTCCACGGAACTTCCTTTCATTTAAAATGATGGAATCAGCATCAACGACATTGAATGTCTCAATGGACTTTCCTTTCATTCGTTCAAGACATTTTTTGACATCGTAAAACCGCACGAAAAATATTTCTCTTTGAGAAAAGCTAATTGGATCAACTTAATGTCACAACAACTGAGTTTTATTCAGAGAAATAATTGTTTACATCTAAAACTTTATTTGAAGTTAGTTTTTTTCCTTCTGTTTGCTGATAAATAAAGAAAATAAATCAACAAGTGTTTTATTCAGTTTACAAATTAACTTTTTCAAATGTTTAGTTGATGAGAATCATTCAGTCTGTAATGATGAAAAGTTTTGAAGTTTGAAACTTTTTATAAAGAATTTTTCTTCAAAGAAATCTTCAAACTTGTGAAAGGAAACTTGACAGTTACGTTCATATAGGATAAGTTACAAGATGATGTAATGATAAGTAACAATTATCTTGCAATTTATCCATTTGAACTTCAGTTGGATACTTTCTTATAAGATTTAACATAAATACATTTCAAGATGTAATTCTTATTTTATTTTAACCTGTCTCAATTTGTTATTTTGAACCCTTAAGTGGAGACAAAATTATAAATTTGTATTATTTGGAGGCATAAATTGGTCTTAAGTGATCTGTTGTAATTAAAAAAGACAGATGACTAAATTACGTTAGATGAAATTTTATATTATTTAGAAGCAATTAAAAAACAGGTGCGAATCCTCCTATTTTAATACTTAAAAGGTAATAAAAAGACAATTAAAAAAATATTAATTTTTTCTCTATAAATACCCTGCATGACTAGTGAGACTTCTTAGTGATTTAAGATTAGTTCAATTAAGTAGTTCTAAAAAGATATTTGTAGATATTTCTTTTATGGATCCGTTCAGCTATTTACCAATAGAAATTACTGAAAAAATTTTAGGAAATATTTCAACTCAAGAATTGTTAACAGCGACTGAAGTCTCATCATCTTGGAATCGATTAATAGGAAAAAACTCAGAAGCGATGAAAAGGATTACACTGAAAATTCATTGGAATGATGAAGAAAATTTAGTTAATCTTCTCTTAAAAAGTCAAAGAAATTATCAAAACGTGGAGATAAAAAATTGGATTCCAAATGAGGAAGCTGAGGAATTGCTTCGCCAAATTGAACCTTCGTGGAAAAATGTTAAGATCAAGCAAGTTAATTCAGTGTCCATGACTAAGTTCATTAATTTTTTAGGAATTATTGAGCCGTCAGTGAAGAAATTAAGTTTAGAAAATATTTCAATAAACATCTTTGATAATGAGAATAGACTTGAAAGGATGGAAGACTTAGAATTCTCAAAACTTGAAGTTCTTCGATTGAAAAGAATTCGAACTTGGCCATTTCTCGAAGCTTTTGAGAGATGTAAAGCTTTAAAGTCTCTTGCAGTTTATCCTTCAAGAGACGCAGGCTTTGATGTTGTTAATATTTTACTTCATCAAAATTCCAACATAACTGAACTGGAAACTAAGATAGAAGCAATCGAGAGGATAGAAATTTTTAACATGAAAAGACTGAGTTTGAAATCATTTATCATAAAAGGCTCACCTCATGCGTTTAGTTCGGAACGATATACAAAATTCATGCTGAAGCTTAATCAGATTTTGATGTGTCAGAAGGAGACACTTGAAAAGTTTTCATATGAGGGAATATTTGATATCGAGATCTGTAAGGTTTTGTTTCAAATGAATAAAATATCTTCAGTAACGTTAGGAAGTTACAATGAATTGACCAATTTCAATCTTGATTTAAACTTTTCTCTCTTGTCGCTGAAAATAATTGACTTAAGGGTTGCTTATAACTTTTTAGACACTTTAATTAACGCATCACCAAATCTCACTAAAATCGAACTCATCTATATGGATCAAAGGATATTACAACTGATATCAATCAATGCGATGAGGTTACAAACAATTAAAGTTCTTTTCTTTGATGCCAACAATTTAAACATAGTTAATTTATTACCGAATCTTCAAAAGATTAAAATATCAGCAATAACACGAGACCTTCGACATCATATTGAAAGGATTCCGGTTCAAAATCACTTCGTGAAACTTGTAATGGAAAATGAAAATCTTTTTAATAAACGTGAAGACGATTTTCGAATACAATGTGGAAGATTTATAGGTGATGAGCTGAATCTATGATAGATCATGATCGCGATAATCGATAAAAAATTGTAAGGAAAACAAAGGGTTGTACATATCATAAATTAATAAAACAATTTCAGAGGTATGAGCAACTTTTTCTACCTGAACATTATCGCGGTCTTTTATTTCATTATGAAGTTTATTGTGCAGCTGTTAGGCGGTTAATTTATTAATTAGGTATAAATTTATTTATTGTCAGTTATCTAATTTATTTGTTTGTTTAAAAAAAGAGGGATTGTAACAATTCCGTCAAAAAAAAGAAAAAAAATAGGAAATGAAAAATTATACAGTGAACTCTCGTTATATGCCCTCTTGTTATAATTTTTCTCTCGATATAATTTTCATTTCGAAAATCATTTAGAACGAAATCTGGAACAAAATTCTCTCGTTATAATTTCTTTTTCTCGGTCCCTTCAGGGTGAATTATAACGAGAGTTCACTGAATTAAAAAAATAAACTAAAAGAAATTAAATAAAAAAAATGTAAAAAAGACAAAAAAAACGCAAAACTAAGTGGAGAAAGAAACAAAAAATTAATTAAAAACAAATAGTAAAATTTTAATTTGAAACGAAAAAAAAAATGGAAAAAAGAAAAATAAAAAATAAAACTAGACGATATGGAAAAATTATGAAAGCGATAAATTTATTCAAAGCAACAGAAAAAATATTAAACTTCTATGTAAAAGAGATTAGCAATTTTATTAACACTAAAATGTAACTGTCAAAAGTTTCAATACTGATTTTATACACCTACAACCTAAACATGCCTTTACCTATTCTTATAAGAAAAAAAAGTAAAATAATGAAGGAACGGTAAAAAGAAAGTTAAATAAAAGAAAGTTAGAAGAAGAAGGCAATAAAGAGCATAAAACATTTCAGATCAGTAAAAAGATTTATTTCTGACATGTAAAGTTGTATATCATCAAACCACATCAGCCAAAAACGTTTAATCATCACGCCCGATCTATGAAGCGATGGACTTTATACTTTCATCAACAATACTTGCTTAAGTTCTATTCGAGAGAGTTCCATAAACTGCATTCTTTCGAATCTCCGAAATAAAAAATAAAAGTTTTTAGTTTAGGTGGGGATAAGTACAAAGCCGAAGTTCCACGAAATTCTCTGAGTGGCATTGTGTTCGAAACAGCCGCGTCAAGGGCAACGACACACTCTCCTAAACTTCAATTTTAGAATATTTATCTGAAGAATATAAAAACAAAGTAAAAAATTTAAAAGATTGCAGTGAAAAAGATTGAAAAGTTGCTTACCTGTAATCTTTTATTTGCATTTGCAAGTGTGTTGAAGGAAGTTAAAAAGAGATAAATAGAAAGCATAAAATATTTGTTTGAAAATCTAGAAGAAAGACATGATTTCAGTGCATGCAAAAATCTAAACGAGTAAAGACACAAAAGAATTTTTAGTGCAGTTCAAAATGGATGAAAATATTAATCCAGTTGTTTGTCTCTCAAGTGAAACTTTTGAAATGATTCTCAATCATTTAACCGGAAGAGAATTGATTAGATTAACTGAAGTGTCACCAGAATGGGATACAGCAATTGGAGCTTCACATATTTTAATGAATAAAATAAAAGTTCGGATCACAAATGCACATCAAATGTCTCGCATCATGGATGATTTCAAAAGTTCAGTGTTGATGAGTCCACGACTTTATCAGCATCTTGAAGTGACAAAGAACTCGATACCTGGTGGATTAATTTGCGAAATATTGTCACGTCCAAATCAATGTTGGAGAACTTTGAAAGCAAAATGCATTCGATTTGAATCTGAATTCACTGACTTTATGAGTCTAATCGAATCATCAATTGAAGAGTTGGAAATTGAAGAAGCTGTGAAATGTTATTCATCAATGGAATGGTCATTAGATGCACTTGATGCTATTGATCATAACGTTGCCATTATTGAACAGCTTCGATCATTGACACTTCCCAAGTTGAAAGTCTTCCGAACTAAGCGAATGTATCCACAAATGCTCTACGAAGCCTTCGCAAATTGCCAGAACCTCAATGAGCTCAAAACAACGGCTGGAACTATTCATATTTCGTTCATTCAAAGGATTCTCGTTCAAAATAAACATTTAGAAGTTCTACACATCTCATCGTACTTCTTTCGAACACTTTTCTTAACCAACTTTTGCGCTGACATTCTAAAGAATTTAAAATCTTTTGCTGTTTATGGACCATTTAAAACCGACGATGTTAAAATGAAGACTTTGCAAGAAAATTTTCTGAGTTTCTTGCATTCTCACAAACACAGTCTTGAAACCTTTTCTATTGAAAGTTGGATTGGTGCAGATGCTTTAAACTACCTGTTCAATTTACCACAATTGAAGTGTTTAACAATAAAGAAAGACAAGTTGGAAGAGACAAGCGATTGGACATCTTTAAAATTAAAGCCAAGCAAATCGATTGAAAGTCTTGTAATTTTCGATCGAAGTCAAACTTTTAATGTGATGAAAACTTTTCTCAAAGCAACACCAAATATCAAAGATTTGAGCTTATTTTTGATGAATCAAGAAGAAATGGAATATTTATCATCAAACTTTCCTCAACTCAAATCACTCAAAATTCGTACACTTACAGCCAGTGATTTTCGTGACTTAAATTTGTTTCCAAATCTTGAATATTGTTTTGTCGATACATTTTTTGTGAATCCTTATGACGAGATTAACAACGAACACTTCATCAAAAAAGGAACAAGTCGCTTTGTTGAGCTTTTTATTAAAAACTTTAACTATTTTTTATAAGTGACAAGGAATTTAAATAAATGTTTAATTAATGTACATTAAAGTTATGTTTAATTAATTCTCAACTGACGGAATGATTCGTTCTTGAAGCCATTGTCTGAAACTGGTGATACGAGCATAACCCGATGGATATCCTTGTTGGCAACCAACAGCAGCACCAAACGATGCAATTCCAATTTGAATTCTCTCACCGTTTCTTGAGACAGTCAAAGGTCCACCAGCATCTTGATTACATTTGCCACGTGCACCAGCAGTTGACATGCAAAGTGTACTCTCAATGATTACATTACCATATACAGCTGCGCATTGATTATTTGTTATGACATTGTTCTGAACACTACGAAGAACTGAACTTGTGGATTGAGAATTATCTGAAATTCGACCCCATCCAGTCACAGTTGCAATTTCACCTTCAAATGTTTCAAAATTTCCAATCGATGGAAATACAGTAAGCTGAACAGCTTCATTAATTTCAGCTTGTGTGTTCATTCTGAGGATTCCAATGTCATTGTGGAAATTTGATGGATTATAATCTTGATGAATGTTGTAATTTGGGAACATGCTTGGTGGATTTGTCACAAGATTAAACACTCTCCAACGCTTTAAATATTTAATTATTGATTATGAAATTCAGATGAGAAAATATTTGATAAAACGTCTCACTTGTTGTGTTATCTCAGTAGTCGAAATGTCGTGTGCTCCAGCAATGACGTGACAGTTTGTCGTCCCAACCATGCAATGAGCAGATGTCAGTACTTGATTTCTTGCTATCAATGATCCACCACACAGTGAAACACCAGTTGAGTGTGCAAAAAGTAATGCAACCATGTAAGGATGAGAATTTGGTTGCACAACAACACCGCCAACAATTCTCGATGATCTCGCTCGTGATGGAACGAACGGTTGGAGATTCTCACGACCATCCCAAAATCCTGGAATTTCTTGAACGGGAACAACCTTTGACCAATCAATTTCATCCCATAACTGGTTTGAATCAGTTTCACTACTAACTGACATCGATAAGAAAATAAACACAAAAATTATTCGCACAAGCTTCTTCATGTTGTTGTTGAATTGATTTAAAAATTTTTAATTCTGTTTACAAATATTTCCACTGCTTTTATACAATTTTATCAAGAAAAGTATTCACATATCTAATCAACTAATCCGATTGATTTATGATTATAAAAGATATGAAAGTTATTCACATGAGAATGCATCGATAATTAATCATCATTCGTTATCAGAGAATTAAAATAAGATTTTTATTAAGAATGAGAATTTATAAAATAAAGAAGACATGAATTTATTGGTGAAAAGTTTTTCTTTTCTTATCATTTAGATATTCAATTAAATGTTAATGATCTTTGAACATGTTGATCACTTTCACAGTTCATCGTTACACTTTTTACCTTTCAGCTGTTTGAGTTTATCAAACTCTTTTGATATCATCATTTTTATTCACAAATTAAAACATTTTAATCCTTTAATGTTGATTTAAATCAAAATTTATTGTTTGAGATATCCAATCGAATATTTTTGACTGAAAAGTGTTTTAATTTTCGAAAAGATTTTTCAGATGGAAAGCAAATCGTTTGATAGATTTCTGCATGAAGTGATGTCAATTTTTTACACGACTTCCCAATGAATTTCAAAGTTTTCTTGTCAATAGCGTAAAGTTCAAGTGATTTAACGTTTGGTGTGGCAATTAAGATTTTCTTAAGGATATCAAAGTTGTTTGACTTGTCATTCAGAAAGAGATGAGTTATGTTATGATTTCGATGTAATGTCACATTGTCCCAAGAAATAAACAGATCCGAATGATGGAACCCTTCAAGTGTTAAGTTCTTTAATCGTGGGAAAAGGAAAATTAATTTGACAACATCAATTCCCATCCAGTCACCAATTGAGACACTTTCGAGTGTCATTATTTGTCCCTTCAAAAACCTTTTTAAATTTTTCTTCTGTTGATCATAGAAAATTGGAGTTCGATAAAGATCTTTAGCATGAAATTCTGTCAACTTAAATTTGACATGATTTAAAACTCCTTCATGGAAAAGCAAGTTAAAGACATTGAAATGAATCCCAAGAATTTTAAGATTTGTGTTAGTTTCCAAAAGGTTTTTAATAGCTTCAACAGCTGATGTTGATATCGCACTTCCTGATTTTATTATGAAGCATTCTAAGCTTTGGCAATTAATGAATGTTTCATGGAATAAGAAAGCTTGACAACATCTTGCTTCCATTGTATGAAGCTTTGGAAAGAGTAACAAAGAAGAATATTTGAAGCCTTTCGGAACATTTCTAATGTAAAATTGATCCATTCGCAATTCCTCAATTGTTGATTTGAATTCACTGAAGACATCATTCACATCAGAAATTGACTCAAAATCGATGCCTCGAAAAGAAACAAATTTCCATTGCCGTCTTGGAACTTTGAGAATTTCACGTGTGACGTCAATGAGATGAGAAAATTTTTCAATTTCAATATTTTCATATTTTCTTTTACTTTTTATCAAAATATTTTTCTCGTCATCTGAGATTTGACTTCTCGATAATTTCAACTTTATTTTCTGCATTGAAGGTTTTGAATTGGCAATGGAGTCATAGAATGAAGAAGAAACTTGTGAAGTTGTCAAAAGTTCAGTTCCAGTTAAATGTTGCAAGATCAGCTCGACGATTTCAGGTGAAAAGAAAGTTGATGGGTTAAATCCAGGAGTTGTCATTTTCGTGAAAATTGAATTTTAATCGTGTACAAAAATATATTTCAAAGACATGTAATTCTCTTTTTAAGTAATTATTAATATGTCAACTGTGATTAGAAATATTTTTTTTTGGGTCATCAATAAGAAAAGAAATCTAGGGTTGTCAATTGTGAATTTATTAGCCTGGAATAGAAGATTAAAGCTGCTACATATTTTAATTAAGTTCAACTTTTTATGGAGACACCCATCGAGGAACAATTCTTAATTAGAAGTTTTATTTTAATTCACAATCGACATTATTAAATATTGCAACACATAAAATGAATAAACTTTTTCTTTCTTTGAAATTTCCACTCAATGTTCTTTTTTCATTTTATTTGTTTTTCTTTAATTTTTGAATATTTTCAATTTCACAAAACTTCGTCGTAAAAGCAAAGAAAAATAAAACTTTTTAGCCAAAGTTTATTTGAGAATTTACACTAATTTCTTAGCTTCAAAGAACGATTTGAGATGTTTCATTTGCCACAGTCCCATCACTAAAAGAACAGCAGTTTGAGCTAACGACCAGTAGAGCACACGTTTGTTTGTGCTTTCACTTGTTTGTCGGAATCTCTCTTCACGATATCGTTGATAATTTTGTTCTTTTGTGATCTGTTCAGCTTGATCAAGCAGTTGACGGATTCTCAACTGTAATTCTGTTAACTTTTCCTTCTGAGCGACATTAGCATAGTCGATAGCATGCTCACCAACTTGAATATCAAGATGAACTCGAAGTTGTGATCCGCTGAACCAAGCTGTTGAATTCGAATACATACAGATGACATGCTCACCAGGTGTGTGACTTGTGAACGACATACGACCTTAAAAATGATTAAAATAATTTTTATTTAATTATTCAAAGATGTTTCTTCCTCTTACCTTCTGAACTGTAAACACGAGACATGACAATTTTATCGTCTGGATCTTTGACTTCAACATGCATTCCGATTCCGGGTGAAGAAGGCATGAAGCCGCCTGATCGAGGATCGTAGAGTTCAACTTTATAATTAACTGCGAACAATAAAAATTATTTTAATTGTTTGGGAATATTAGATTTAATTGCAATATTTACCAATCACTGTTGTCTCATCAGGAATTTCTTCGATGAAACATTTTTTCTCGGTTTCGGCGATGTGAAAGTAAAGCCCTTGACAAACACTGATAAGGCTGATCAGAAATAGAAGTGAAGTTGCTCTTTCAATCATCTTACAGCCTCGTATTTTATACAATTTAACTTAGAAAAGAAAATATTTCGATGGGAAGAAAGCTGACGTATCAAATAAAAATTGTGTAGTTGTATACCCTTTCAATGTTTTGTTGAGTCAACAACATTGCATTTATATGATTTTCAATGTTTCATCAATGTTTTAGTCTTTTTCTATGTTTCCATGAAATTTGAAAAATACCATTTGGGGGATACCAAGGGGAGGATTTATTCTTTACTTTTATTTCCTTTTGAATTTTATATCAGTTTCATTTGACAGCAAACGAAAATACCTACAAAGTTCTTAGCAGAAATGTTTATTCTTCTTACTCATCTCAATACACCATCTTGCGTAACGGTCATTTTTGTAGGATAAACCAACGTATTCTCTATAGAGAATACGTTGGATAAACCAGTGAAATAACTTTTGTCTACTGTCATAATCTCCTTTAATTATCAGTAACAATTAATTTGATCTTACAACTTTTACAATACTTACGTATTAAGGTGGAATGACACGAACAAAGTCGCCTATGTTCATATGTTCATAATACGATGTTCTCAAGTCCGTAATAAAATAATCATCCATGCAATTCCAACATAAATCACATTCAGAATTATCACAAGATTCGTTACAAGGTTTTTTCATGCATATTTCAGGAAGAACGGTTAAACCATCTGTTTGGCAGAATATTTTATCATTTAAAATATTTCTTATTCTGGAATTTTTCGTGCTGCCTTCAATGCCGATAAGTCTGAAGAAATTATAAAGAACATTCTCAAGAATCGGTTTGGTGTTTCGAATTCTGGCGTGTGCTTCCAAGTTTGGACTCATATTGACTTCCATTAAATATAATTGAAGCTTTGAGTCGAGAATAAAATCAAAACGAAGTAATTCGAAGAAATGATTTTTTCCAAATGCTGCTTTCAACTCTGCAATCGCTTCAATAAATTTTGGTTCCTTCATTAGAGTAATTTTCCTAATGCAATCTTCTATCTGTTCATCAACAATTTGAGGATCAAAATTTCTTTCTTTCAAATATATGTGAAAAACCTACTTCTTTTGCAAGGTATGTTTTTTTGAAGTATGTTTCAACATAAGTGAAGTTTAAGCCAGGAATATGAGGATCACCAACAGCATAAGTTTCTACATCTTTAAAGTTATTCGGATCGTATGGTTTGTTACAAAATCTAAAGTGATAAGTTTTTCCGTAATAATAAACTCTTAGTGGGTCCACTGATGTTATCACCACAAATATGTTCAAATCAAATTTATGACCATCAATAAAAAAAGGATCTTCAACATATTCTTGAGCGAAATAATCTTGATTTATGTTTTTGGTGTCTGTTAAATTCATTTCACTAACTTTTTTTATGGACACTCCACGATTTGCTTTGAATTTCTGAACAAATCTTTTCTCTGGATGTTTATTCGCATATTCTGTCAACTCTTCGATATCTGTGAAAGCTTTCGGAACGTATTTCAAATCAGTATTTGTCGCCATGAAGCTTTTCAATACAAGATGAATGATTCCTGGAATGTGATTGATTCTTTGATAATGTTTCAACTTTGAATAATTAAGTGGGATTTGTCTAATATATTCAAAAGCCCAAAGTAAGTCCCAATAATAATGAATGGTTGCAGATGTCGATGAATCAACTTTCGTTTTTTTTATAATCTAAATGATTTAAAACAACTTCAATTGACTCAAAACCATGATAATTTTTACTATAGCGAGTGTGAAGCCAATATTTTAATCCAGGATTATAGATTTCGTTTGAGAACTTCAGATGTTGAAGAGAAATTCCTAAAAAAAACTATAAAAACTGTAGAAAAAATTATTTTTTTCATTTTTTCTGGAAAGAAATGTAGATAAAGATGTTTTTGTTCAGATGTCGATATTAAATTAAATTCACTTATATACTAAAAATAAGAAATGAAAACCAGACGACAAACATGACGCTAGATAAATATTGAAAGTATCAAATGTATATAATCCCGAGCGGTAATTTAAAAGTCAGGTTATACATAGGAAACTAAGCTACACACTCGGGAGATAAGTCAATGTTGCTATTTGTGTACTGTCACAATAATTTAGGAAACAAAATATTTATTTATACATCTATCATATTTTATAAATTATCTAATAATTTTTAACAGAAATGTCTGTTCTTTTTACACATTTCGAGGCACCATCTTGCATAACGATCATTTCTATAAGATAATCCAGTGAAGTAACTTCTGTCTCTCATCATGCTTTCCTTTAATTATAAATAAAAATTTAAATATTTTAATAATAATTGAAGTTTATAAAGTGATTTCTGAATACTCACGTTTGAAGGTGGAATAACACGAACAAAGTCTCCCATTCTCATGTGTTCATAGCAAGCCGTTTCAAAATTCTTTTTCAGGTAATCGTCCATACAATCCCAACATAAATCGCATTTGGAATAATCACAAGACTTGTCACAAGGGTAATTTGCACATATTTCAGGAAGAACTCGTAAACCTTCCGTCTGACATAACAAATTATCATCAAAAGAATTTTTACTTTTTGATTCTTTCATGCTGTGTTCATGCCCCACAAGTGAAAGAACATTAAATGGAACGTTATCATAAATTGATTTGTAGGGTACTAAAATTGGACTCATCTTCATGTCCATTAAATGTAATTGGAGTCTCGAGTCGAGAATAAAATCAAAACGAATCAATTTGAAATTATTTTTACTTCCAAAAGCAGCAGACGTAGCTTTAATCGCTTGGATTAATTTTCCTTCCTTCATTAGTATAACTTTTCTTATGCAATCTTCTATCTGATCATCAACAATTTGAGGATCCAAACCTTTGTCTTTTAAATACGTATGAACTGCGTCTTTCGTTGAATAAGAATTAATTAAGAATGTTTGAACAAATGGAAACTCAACGCCTGCAATGTGACTGTCAGAGATAGCATAGGTGTCTACGTCATCGAAGTTATTCGGATCGTATGGTTTGCTACAAAATCTCAAATGATAAGTTTTTCCATAATAATAAACTCTTAATGGGTCCACTGATGTTATCACCACAAACACATTCAAATCAAATTTATGACCATTTATGAGAAAAGGATCTTCAATATATTCTTGAGCGAAATAATCTTCAAACATGTTGTTAGTATTTGTAAAATTCATTTCACTGACATGCTTTATTGCCACAACTTGATTTGTTTTATATTTTTGAACAAATCTTTTCTCTGGATGTTTATTCGCATATTTTGTCAATGCTTCGATATCTGTGAAAGATTTCGGAATGTATTTTAAATCAGTATTTTTCGCCATAAAGCTGTCCAAAGTGACCCAATCGTAATGAATTGTGATAGATTTTGATGGATTCATCTTTGTTCTGCTATATTCCAAATTTTTTAAAACAACTTTAATTAAATCAAAAACATGATAATTTTCACTGTCGGGCGTGTAAATCCCTAAGTTCAATCTAGAATTGTAAATTTCCAGTAGCCCAAAGTTCAACAAAAAGTTTGAAATAAGAAAAGCGATTCCCGTAGTAACTACAATGAACCCAGACAAGATAAACTTCTTCATTATAAATAAAAAGGTGTTTCTTGTTTAAATTTCGAGCGTTAACTAAAGTTGATTAAAGACAAAATTAATTAACAAATAAAAAACAAGGCGAATAAATACAGTGGAACTTCGTTAAGTAAATGTCTCAGTAACCCTTAAAAACGGAGTAATTAATTATAAGGATTCGATTAACTTGATTAATGACCGTTGATAAACTAATATTTTCTTGTCCATTTATCGAAGTTATTATAGCAGAAAGAGAAGTCAAACTTACAATTTTTATTTCACGTGGTCGGAACAATACAAAATGTATAATAAACAATTAAGAATAAACTTAATATTCTCGCAGAGATGAAAGCTTTTAATGAAATTGAATTTTAACTGAAATGTCTGTTACTTTTGCACATTTCGAGTAAATGTCTCAATAACCTTGATAAACGGATGAGTTTTAATCACACTTGAATATCATTTAAGGATTGCCTCGATTAACTTGATTAATAACCGTTGGAAACAAATATTTTCATGTCCACTTGAGCCATTCATTTATCGAAGTTGTTATAGCAGAAAGAGAAGTCAAACTTACAATTTTTATTTCACGTGGTCGGAACAATACAAAATGTATAATAAACAATTAAAAATAAACTTAATATTCTCGCAGAGATGAAAGCTTTTAATGAAATTGAATTTTAACTGAAATGTCTGTTACTTTTGCACATTTCGAGGCACCATCTAGCGTAAAGATCGTTTTTATAAGATAATCCAGTGAAGTAGCTTCTGTCTCTCATCATGCTTTCCTTTAATTATCGATAAATAAAATAAAATTATGAGTTAATTTGAATTTCAAAATGTGAAGACGGCTTAAATATCAAAGCTTTGTTTGACATTTAAAAAAGCTTGAAAATGTTTCAATCTTCTAATTTCTTCAATACTCACGTTTGAAGGTGGAATGACACGAACAAAGTCTCCAATTCTCATGTGTTCATAATATGCCAATTTTAAATCTTCAACAATGTACTCATCCATGCAATTCAAACACAAATCGCATTCTGAGTCATCACATGACTCATTGCATGGTTTCTTTAAGCACATTTCTGGAAGAACTGTTAAACAATCTTTTTGACAAAACAAATCATCATTCAACACATTTCTAACACGTGAACCATTCAAGCTGCCTTCAAAGCCCACAAGTGAAAGAACATTAAATGCAACGTTGTCAAAAATTGATTTGTAAGCTACTGACAAGTAGGGAACTATATTAGGACTCATGTTGACTTCCATTAAATATAATTGAAGTTTTGAATCGAGAATAAAATCAAATCGAACAAATTCGAAAAAGTGATTTTTTCCATGAGCTCCAGACGTAGCTTTAATCGCTTGAATGAATTTTGGTTCCTTCATTAGAATGATTTTTCTTATGCAATCTTCTATCTGATCATCAACAATGTGAGGATCCAAACCTTTGCCTTTTAAATACGTGTGAACTGCATCTTTTGCTGAATAAGAATTATTGATTAATGTTTCGACAAATGGAA